CCAACTACCAATGCCGGCTGCCGCCAAGCGGCGACTCGACCCACACGCGCCGCCCCATCGCACGGCGGCATACCTCACTTTCGAACTTTGTGTCGCACTCGCTTTTCGAACCTTTTGTCGAACGTCTCCATGTCGTCTTCTTTGAACGCGCCACTCTGTGGCCAGGGGATGATGAACCCGTCCTCCATGTTTATGCAGCCCGTCGAGGGCACCTTGTCCTTCCCGGAAAGCGTGACCAAATCGTGCTTTAAACCCTTCGTTTGACGAGCCTTCGCTGCTCTTCCCAGCTCTGGACAGTGGAACCTTCCATTCGAACGTTGCTCGTCCCTCTGGCACGGACTTCCTCTCGCTCCCACCCTCGCTCCCGCCCTCGCTCCCGCCCTCGCTCCCGCCCTCGCTCCCGCCCTCGCTCCAGCCCTTGCTCCTGCCCTCGCTCTCGTCTTGCGCGACCCAGTCCCCGGTCGTGGACACGGCTCTCACTCCGCCTGCTGCACATGACTTTGCTTCGGATCTTCCTCTTGGCGACTTTGGCGTCCTCGACTTGGATGCTGCTGGCCTGGATGCGAGCCCTGTCATGGACCTGGGCATTCTGGGGCCGCTGCCGATGGAGCTGGAGACAGCGGCAGCTGCCATTCCCGCGCCGTCAGCCTTGCGCGAGGCAGAGTCCTCCCGGTCGCCGTCGCTCTCGCTCGACGAGGAGCATGGTGACGACCTCGCTGGTGAGAATGCCAACCCGTTTGCGAAGATGGCGTCGACGTCGGCGACAGTTGTGGCCCGCCATCCGACAGATGGCCCTGCCTTTGTTGCCGCCGTCCGCAGCCTGCCGTTTCTCGTCCAGGTTTATGCTGCCGCCAGCCATCCCATGCTCTGCCCGGAGCTGCGCTTTGATGATGATGGCGTGCTCGAGCTGCACGAGCAGACGCCGCCCTCGGCGGTCTTCACCACACTCTTCACCCGGCACGACTCGTTCCGCCGCCGCTGCAACGAGCATGGCTTTACCAAGCCCAAGGGTCGCTCGAGCCTTGTGCATGACAACTTCTCCGCCGACATCACCCCCGCCGACGAGCTTGCACTCTACCACCGCCAGCTCGCCCGCCGCGCCAAGCGCCGCAACCGCGCCCGCAATCGCGCTCGCTGCCGCGCTTCCACACCCTCGAGCCCAAACTCGGGCGAGATCCTTGCCCTGAATGACGGCTTTAACTCGCTCAAGCGCCGTTGCAGCGAGGTCGCCACCGGCATGGCCACCAAGCGTGCCCGCCTCCTTAACTTCAACGCCGCCACCGACAAGTTGGCTGCCGACCTCGCCGCCCATCGCAAGAAGACTAACGCTCTCTTGGCGTCGGTCAATGCACTTGCAGCTGCAGTTCTCCCGCACCGTACCCTCGCCTAAACATCTTTTCCAGCCTCCGCTTCTTCCTCGAGCTCGGCGATGCGCGCCCGCAGCTCGTCCCGCAGCACCTGAGACGACAGCCGCTCCGAATCGAGCTCCTGCCTCAGCGCAGCAATGATCTCATCCCGGTCGATGCAGCTCTCGCACCCGCCCCTTCCTCCATCACCCCCACTAGCCTCAATCTGCTGGCGCAGCGCGTTGATGAGCTCTTCGCGCGAGGCACACTCGGCACACGGCGCCATCTTCGGTTCCGAGCCGGCATACCCTGCTCCAAACTCGACATCGGTCCACGCAACAGACTCGATCGGCCCAACATCCCCATCTTTCATCGGCAAGCCTATAGCTGAGAAGTCCAGCTCTGTCTCTGCCCATTTCCCCGAATACGATGCATTGCTCAAGTTGGTCGTCGTCTCCAAGTACGCCCGCGGGATGGACGACGAAGCGAGGGCCGACTTGAGCGCGAGCTCGAGCGTACGAACTCGAGCGAGTAGACTCTGCCTCTCTTCGTCAGCTTGCTTCAATAGCTCGCGGCTTGCATTCCGGTATGCTCGCAACATGGCGTTCTCCTCGTCCAGCTTGCTCATCTCGCCGCTCCGCCCGAACCCCCGTTGCGCCAACGGACTTTGGTCGAGTCGAGTCGAGTCGTCCTAACCAACCGACCGACCGCTCGCCCGACCCGTCGCCCGCGACCCACTCGCCCGACCCGCCCGCGACCCGCTCGCGCCCCATCCTGATCAATCCCACCCACACTCCAGCATCTGCGCACTGGGGCGTGTTTTATCGAGTCACGACCGAGTCCCGCCCCTCGGTGGAAGGGCGCGTCCCAGGTGACAATCTGGGTGCGGTGCGATCTCACGATGAACCCGAGCCCGATCCTGAGCCCGAGCCGGAGCCCGAGCCCGAGCCCGAGCCGGAGCCCGAGTCCGTCGAGTAGACCTCGGCGTACGTGTACTCGTTATCAGAGACAGCGGCCGGGGCGGCAGCAGCGGCAGCGGACGAGCCGCCCTCGAGCGCCTGCTTGGCCTCGGACAGATCCCAGTGCGACCACATGCAGAGAAGCGAAGCGAACATGTTGATGGCGAGGGCGACGATCATAAAGACATACCGCTCCTGGATGGTCTCGGAGAGGTTGCCGGTGTCCTTGGCCGCGCGCTCGCGGTAGCCGAGTGAGATGCCAATGATGGCGTTGGCCTGCGTGAACGCCGAGAGCGCAAAGGCAAAGAGAAGGAAGCCACGGTCGGCGGCAATGGTGGCGTACATGCCAACAACAAAGGCAAAGAGCAGGTAAAGCCGATGACCCAGCCTTGGTCCTGCACGTTGCCCTCGGGCGTGTTGTTCGATGCGATGCCGGCGTGGGCAACGACGAGCGCGGCGCCGGCGGCCTGGAGCGCGAGGAACATGAACGACCGGATCTTGAGCGCCGAGAGCGGCGGGACGCGGCCAAAGATCGAGATGAACCGCTCACCCGAGCTGGGCGAGCTCTGCAGGATCTGCGACATCTGCTTGGCAGTCCACACAACAAAGAGGAGGACAACCGTGTGGATGAGGAGAAAGATCGACATGGTGAGGAGCAGCTCCTTCTGCATCTCGCAGTCGGCCACGTGCGCAGGATGCGCCGAGACAAACGAGCAAAAGTCCTGGCCTTTGGTGTTCGCCGGGCCAACGTCAAAGAGCGTAAAGACAAAGTACGTGGTCGAGAACGCGCCGCCGGCGAGAACCCCGGTCAGCGTCCCGCTCGCCAGCGAAAAGTGGACGATCGACCGCGAGCCCATGACCGTGCCCAAGATGAGGCTCAGGCCCGAGAGCATGGCCATAGCACCGGTGATGAGGTTCGACATCTCGGGCGTATAGAGCGACGCATTGGTGGTGAACGAGTCCTTCGGCTGCAGCAGGCCTGCGCAGATGATCGAGGCAAGGCCGAGCGCTGCAGCCAGTCCGCCGATGCCGAGCGCCACATGCTTGCCGCGCTCACGCGAGAGCGGCTCGGTAAAGTCGCCGCCGAGCACGCCGCCCGAGAGGATCTTAGGGTGAAGGGCGCCGTCAACAACCAGGTCGTCGATGGTCTCCTCCAGCCGGTCGAGCGCGTAGAGCGAGATCGAGCACAGCACAATGAGCACGGCGTTGACCGTCCGGATGTCGTCGTTCGGGAAGCGGGTGTGGAGGAAGCCCGAGAGCGGAAGGAGCGCCCCGGCCGAGAGCATGAGGAGCGAGCGCGAGTCAAAGAACACTCCAGCCATACCGGTGCAGAACGCGATGGTACCAACCGCCACCGAGGCGATGGTCACGGCGTCGACAGCCTGCGACGTCGGCTCAAACTCCTTCTCAAACGTGGGATCATTCTGAAGCAGAATAATGTCCACAGCTGCGGTGGCCACAGTGAGGAAGAGCGCGATGGCGGCCATAATCTTGAGCGTCCGCAGCGACATGTCCGGAAGGTCAAACATGATCTTCTCCTTGTCCACCAGCGCAAACCACGAATCATGAACATCGTCCGGCACAACATGCTTGTGCGTTGAGCCCGAAGAGCCACCCACTCCGCCGCCGTACTCGGATCCTTCCGCGCTGGCAAACGTGTACGAGTCGGCACTGCCACTCTTGCTCTCGCTTGAGTACGACATTCTACGACTTGCTTAGTCTTGTCAAAGAGTGTGGTGTAGCCATCTTCATCACTGTCCGGCTCCTATCCCGCTAGCCGCAGAACAAGGTTCCCTTTTTTTCGTCAGGCGTTGGAGAACATTTTGATTCGATATTTTTTTGGGACGGCAACCTCTTTCTTCTTGTTCTTCTACAAACAGCTCTTGGCTGTGTGTTTAGGTGTCGCAAGGCAGATGACTAGTGGAGATCATGACTGTGGTTGGGTATCTAGAGGGCGTGACCCAATAATGGGTGTGGGGGGCTCCAGCAGGGGTGGGCAGTAGCCGCAACTGCAGTCTGCCACAGAGCGGCATTGTGCGGGATAGCGGCGCAGAGCGGAGAGAATGATGCTCGAAAGGGCCAGTCCAGCTGCAGGCGACATTAATCCATCGCTGCGTCTCTCACGGCAGACATGCTTTACTCAATGACCGCTGGCTTGAATCGTCGGAGCCAAAGCGAGGAGACAACGACCGAGACCGAGGAGAGGGCCATAGCGGCGCCGGCTACAGCCGGCGGCAAGGTGACGCGGACGAGCGGATAGAAGAGGCCGGCGGCGATGGGGATGCCGACGCAGTTGTAGACAAATGCCCAGAAGAAGTTGTGGCGGATGCGCGCGTAGGTGACGCGGGCGAGCTCGAGGGCGGTGACAACGTCGCGAAGATCCGACTTCATCAGCACCATATCGGCCGACTCGATGGCGACGTCGGTGCCGGCGCCGATGGCGATGCCCAAATCAGCCTTGGTTAGTGCCGGTGCGTCGTTGATGCCGTCGCCCACCATGGCCACCCGCAGGCCGCGATTCTGGAGCTCACTCACCTTTGCAGACTTGTCGGCCGGAAGCACCTGCGCAAAGACGCGGTCGGGCGCAATGCCGAGATCGCGGGCGATGGCCAGCGCCGTCCGCTCGTTGTCGCCGGTCACCATCCACACCAGGATGCCCGAGGCCTCGAGGTGCTCGATGACCGGCCGCGCAACGTTGCGCACAGTGTCGGCCACCGCCACCGCACCCGCGAGTACATGATCGACCGCCACGAACATCACCGTCTTGCCATCGCTCTCCATATCCGCGGCAAAGACCTCGATGGGCTGAGGCATCTCAACCGAGTTTTCTCGCATCCACTTGCGGTTACCGATGGCGACATGGAAAGCTTTCTCGTCCGTCGGCGCTGTGAGCATGACCTCAAGTCCGCGGCCGGTTGCGGCCTCAAAGCCTGCCGTGGCAAAGGCACCCGGCTCCGCACCGGCGGTACTCGCTGCGTGCGCCACCATCGCCCGCGCAAGCGGATGCTCCGACAGCGCTTCTGCAGCGCCGACGATCGACCAGAAGAGCTGGTCATTGGCGTTGTCACTCGCCTGCGCACTCTCGGGCGACCACTCGGTGTGAGGCAGGATCGATACCGCGGTGACGACCGGCTTGCCGTGGGTCAGCGTCCCAGTCTTGTCAAAGAGCACGGCATCGATGGTGTGAGCAGCCTCAAGCGCGGTCCCACCCTTGATGAGGACGCCGTACGAGGCGCCAACGCCGGTGCCAACCATGATGGCGGTCGGTGTGGCAAGGCCAAGCGCGCACGGACAGGCAATGACGAGGACGGCGATGCCAAAGAGGAGCGCAAAGAGAAAGTTGGATCGGTTGGACGGGACCCATGAGGCTGGGATGAGACCCGAGTAGAGGAGAACGATCCAGACGATAAAGGTGACAATGGCAATGACAATGACAACTGGCACAAAGTACGACGAGACCTTGTCAGCAAAGGCCTGGATGGCCGGCTTGGACGTCTGGGCGTTGTGGACTAGCTGCACAATCCGGGCGAGGGTGGTGTCCGCGCCGACGCGGATGACCTCGATCCGAACGCTGCCAGTCTGGTTGATGGTCCCGCCAATGACCTCGTCGCCGGGCGCCTTGCTCACTGGTAGCGCCTCACCGGTGACCATCGACTCGTCGATGGCGGTCTCGCCGTCGACAACAAGACCGTCGAGCGGAACGTTGGTACCTGGCAGCACCTTGAGCACATCGCCGACTTCGATGAGCGCCACATCGACTTCGGTTGCTTCGCCATCGGCACCCACAAGCAGGGCGGTGTTGGGCTGGAGCGAGAGCAGTGACTCGATGGCAGCAGAGGTCCGGCCCTTGGCCAGGGTCTCGAGGTACTTGCCGCCGATGATAAAGGTGATGAGCAGGGCGGCGGTCTCATAGAAGAGCCCATCGGGCTTAGTTCCGGCGATCCAGCCCTCGATGACGACAAACAGCGAGTAAAAGTATGCTGTTGTTGTGCCCATGGCAACCAGCACGTCCATGTTGGCCGACTTGTTGCGTAGAGCATGGTAGGCGCCGACGTAGAACTTGCGGCCGACCACAAACTGAACAGGAGTGGTGAGAACGGTGAGGAGAAAGCCCTCCCAGGTGACTCCCTCAACCACTTCCTTCATCAGAACACGATGCAAGCTGGGGATGAACATGAAGACCATCGAGATGAGGAAGATGGGCAGGCTGAGGACAAAGGAGATCCAGAACAGTCGCCGCCAGCGGGCCAGCTCGCGCGCGCGCGCCTCCGCCATCGATCCGTCACGCACGTCGCCCGAAGCCAGCGACGCAGTGTAGCCAAGCTCCTCCACCGTGGCAAGTAGTGCCCGCGCTCCAACCTTGGTCTCATCAAACTCGATCTGGGCCTGGCCCGACATGAGGTTGACGACAGCCGCCGTCACTCCGTCCACCGCCAGCAGCGCTCGCTCAACTGCGGCCACGCACGACGAGCACGTCATGCCCTCGATGACGATGCCAATCGAGCCTGCGCTTCTTTTGCCGCGGATGACAACATCGAAGCCGAGGCCCTCGATGACCTCGGCGGCTGTCGCAGGAGCCAGGCTCGTGGCCGCCACGACGGTCGCTTCGCCGCCGAGCAAGTTGACAGACACGCTGACAACGCCTGGCAGCTTTTTGACGGCCGACTCGACCGAAAGGACGCACGAGGCACAGGTCATACCGATCACCTCATACCGACTCTCCACCGTCTTGATCCCACTCTCCCGCTCCTCGGAGGTCATCATCTTCTCCGACGTTTCCGCGGCGAGATCGTCTGCAACTCCGTCATGGTGCTGATCATCATCGAAATCAAGGCTCTCACTTGAGCAATAGTAGTACTCTGAGGAGTAGCTTGCCACAGACAATGACATATGTGCTCTTTGTCTGTGTGAGTGTGGCGTGTGTGTGGTGACTGTGGCGAGGAAAAAAGACGTCGGAAGTCATTCACATCACAACTGCTCCACAACTGCTCCGCTTGCTCCGCATGGTGCTCCACTTTGGGCTCCACGAACCACAATCGCAACCCCACATGAATGATCATCATTGTCCACCTCTGATCTGTGCTCTACCCTCCCTTCCTTTGCTCATACCGTTCCTTGCGCCGTGTGCCTGAAGATCGACTTGCGGCGATGCGTGCGCTGGAGAGGGGAGAGGGGAGCGGCGACAGAGAAGACGTCACGGCGGTCGCACCTGGTGGTCGCACCTGGTGGTCGCACATGATGGTGGTCGCACACGGTGGTTGCACACGGTGGTTGCACACGGTGGTCGCACACGGTGGTCGCACTCGGTGGCCGGGTAGCCGAGATGACAACAGTCGCGATCTCCTCTCTCGACGGCACAACTGTTGCGATCGCGATCATGTTGTCGATCACGGTCTCATGACCAGAGCCACGACAACGATCACAGCCACACGACTGACCTCACGGCTACAACCATTGCCACAATCCCATCCACAGCCCCCCCCTCCCCCCCCCCCCCCCCCCCCCGGTGACGACGACAATGTCTATCGATCACATCAGCATCATTGCCACGACCACGAGTACGATCATGATCATGATCACGGTCACCGTTCTCACAACCTCATCCACAGCTCTGTAGCCAAGGCGCAATCCGGCTTGGCTGCGGCACGCGGTCAATCAACAAACGTTCAATTCGTCCAATTCGCCGACATACGGGCGGCTGGACGACGAGGCTGTCGGGAAGAAGGTCAACCAGACGCTACACCTGACGCACATCCACCAAACTTGACTCTAGAGCACATACAACAGTCTTATACACTGAACCTTATCCATAGTAGTAGACTCGTCTGCGTTCACGAGTTATAGCTCTTGGAGTAGTCATGGCCACTCGGCCGGCCCGAGACGATTCAATTGTCCTCGACTCGTCGAGCTCATCGCGTTCATCGAGCCCATCGTCGTCATTGTCGTCGTCGTCGTCATCATCATCATCATCATCATCATCATCATCATCGTCAACGTCGGCATCATTGATATCATCACGCTCGTCTTTGTCATACAACTCGGCAGTCTCAGCTGTGGAGCGATCCGTCTCTGGTGGGCGCATCCGTGTTCAGGCAGCATCACGATCAGACTCAAACGATGATGGCGATGCTGATGATGGTGGTGGCAATGCTCACCAGGGACATTGGCATGGAGACCTGCCTCATGACACCAGCTTTCCGTCGCCGAGAGCAGTGCCCATTCGACAGGCTGAATCGGCAAGTGGCCTCCGCCCTGCACTGCGGGTTAGCTCGATGGACGCGAGTCGGCTCGCAGCCTCGCTCTCGGCCGACACACTCTCGAGCTCACCGCCGGCAACAAGAGTCATTCAGGCGCAGCGGATGGCGCGGATGGGCCGACGTCGGTCATCGGTCTCGTTTTCCGGGCCGCAGATCAAACCTGTTAAGCATGCCAGTGGCGAGCTCTCGCTCAGTCTCACTCACGCCAAGCTCAACATTGTGCCGCCGTCGGTGGTCGCCAACCCGGACCACGTCGCGGCACTGACCGAGCTGGACCTCTCCCACAACACCATCGCACAGCTGCCTGACAGCATCACTCGGCTGACGACTCTGGCCGCGCTGGATGTGTCAGCCAACAAGCTGACCACGCTGCCGGAGACCATGGCCGAGCTGAGCGCGTCGCTCACCCATCTCGACCTTTCGCAAAACCGCGGCTGTGGCAGCCTGCCAAGCGTCGTCGGCTCACTGAAGAGCCTCACGTCGCTCAGTGTGGCTGATATTGGCCTCACAGTCATCCCAGCTGCGCTTATCAGGCTCACCGGACTGACTCGCCTCGACCTCTCCCGCAACCGACTTGGCCGCCTTCCGCGGCAGATCGGCCGCCTCCGGGAGCTTGTCGAGCTCGACATCTCGCACAACATGCTTCGCTCTCTGCCGCCTGCGCTCGGCACGCTCGCCACCGACTACAACCTCCGCGAGTGTGCCATGGATGGCAATCCGTTTGATGATGTGCTGGAAGAGGTGCACGCCTCGCGCGGCTCTGCGGCGGTTCTGCTCGATTTAGCCGCGGCGGCGTCGCGCTCCATCGGCAGCGTGTCGACAGCCTCTGGTTCTGCACTCCCGCTGGTTGTTGCCGATGCCTATGCCGACGACTCGTCGTCGTCGTCGGCCGACGACGTGGTGTAGCGCGACATTGGGCGAGGCCTTGGTTTACCCCCACCGGACCGAACCCTCGTTCATCACCGAACTCCTCTTGGACGAGTTGGTAAACGACTTGGCCTGCGACTTGTGGTGGCGCGCCGGCCGGTCAAGATCGCGGGCGTATGCCACCGGCAGGCCCGAAGCAGGCACAAGATCGTCCATTGGCGACCGTGCGTGAATCGAGTACCGGTCCGACGACTCGGAGCCGGGCTCGGTGGCCTGCCACTCGTCGTCATCATCGTCGTCGTCGTCGTCGTCGGTAGCGGTGGCACACACGCCACCAACTTCGACCGCCAGACCGTCAGCGGCATCGGCGTCAGTAGAGCTGGTGGTGGGAAAGACAGCGCCGAGAGACGAACCGCCGTCTCCGCCAGAGGCCATGCTTGAGGCCCGCGAGCGGGTGGCGAGCTCAGCAACGTCGTCCGAGTCGAGCGGCATGATGACACCGGCGACCGGCACAACTTGCGGAGTGACCGGCGACTCGCCGCCCTGTGGCGAGCTGACAGTAGTCACGTCCGGGTACGGGTCGCCGTCCGCGGCCTCAAACTCGTCGTCGTCAACAACCGTGTCGCCTTCGCCGGGCGGAGCGTGCTCGGCAATGGCAGCGGCGCGTGCCGAGAGGCGGGCGGCGCGAGTCCGCGACGGCGAGCGCGAGCGTGAGACAGCGCGAGTAAACCGGCTCGAGCCGAACTCTTCGATATAGTATTCGTCCGCGTCACGGTAGCCGTAGCGCACACGGCCGTGGCTTTCCGACGCAGTGACGTCAGAGAGTGAGTTTCCGGTCGCGCCCGACTTGGCCAGCATCCGGGCCCGACGGGTCGGTGTCGGCTCGCCCAGCAGCGGCACACCGCCGTCAGTGGCGGCCATGCTCTCGTTGTGGACGTTCGACTCACCCGTGCGCGAGCTGTTGGCGAGGTCGTTGGACGCCAGCTCACCGGCAGAGACGCTGGCGGCGGGCACAAACGCGGCGACTCCGCCCATGGTCCGCGACGGCGGCAGATTGTCTGACGCCGCCACACCTGACGAGTCGGAGCCCGTCGGCGACCGGTACCCATCCGAGTACGACAGCGCGTGAGCGTGCGACCGCTCCGAGCTTGTCCCGTAGCGGTAAGCGTCGATCGACGAGCCCGGCCGTTCGGGCTCGCGATCAAACTCGTCGTCCTCGACGCCATCGTCGTCGTCGCCCGAGGCGAGACTGGCGGCAGCGGCGGCGGCAGTGGAAGCAACTGTGGCTACCTCGCCGTCGTCGCCGGCAAGGCCGGCCAAGACCAGGCGGCGGCGGCGGCGCGGCGACTCGAGTGACGAGACAACCATGGCGCCGACAACGTCTTCGGATTCGGCGTGGACCCGCAGGTCAGGCCCGTCGACAGCCAGGAACGTCGACGCCGAGGTCGGCTCCAACGCCGCGAGGTCGGTGGCGTGGACGAGGACGTGGTGCTGCAGCTGCTCGAGGCTATCAAACTGCTGGGCGCACTCGGGAAACGAGCATACAAGCTCAACGTCGCCGCCGGGCGCAGTCGGCTGGACGGTCTCGTGGTGGAGGAGGCCGACAATCGACTGCTTGGAGATGGAGCGGACGAGCGGAGCGCCGGACCCGTCGCCGACGCCACTCTTGCCGCTCGCTAGCGGTACGCTTGTAGGCGGAAAGGCGGTTGTCTGCAAGCCGGACGACGTTGTCGACGTCTTGAGCGGCGAGGCCGGGCCTGACTCGAGCGACGAGGCGGCGCCGGACGACGCGCCGGCGCCGAGAACGGTCCGGGTGTTGTAGTCTTCGCTCTCGGAGCGGTCGACGAGCGAGTGCAGCCGCTCGGCAACCTGCTCGAGGCTTGTAGTGACGGTCGCCTCACCCGGCGACAGCGAGCGTTCCTTGACCCGCAGCTGGAGGCCCTGATGCGGGGCACGCGGCGTCGAGGTGCCCGAGCTACGCCCGTGGGCGTCGACGTGTTCGGCGCCGGGCGTGCCCTCGGCGCCGTCGAGCATCATCAGCTCGCGGCAGGCCGAGGCAACAGCGACCAGCTCGCGGAGGTCTGTGCGGTAGAACGGCTGAACCTCCAGAATGTGCTTCTTGAACGGAAGGGCGGTGACCGCGCCGGTCGCCTTGTCGTGCTTCCGCATGGCTCGCATCACCGCTGACGCGTTGAGAGGGACAAACGAGACAAAGTGAGCCGCGGCGTCGAGTAGCCGCACCCGCACCATCCACGCCGGCGAGCCTGTTGTTGGCGGCACAGACTCGGAGTGCAGCTCAGAGTACAGATCCTGCAGCTGCGCAAAGAGCTCCTCCTTGGTGGCGACAACAAACTGGTTGAGGCTCTCCAGCGTGGCCGTGACCGCTGAGAAGAATGCCTCCTTCCGTCCGTCGTCGGCACCGTCGCCAGACTGCGGCGGCGAGGACAGGTCGGCTGTCAGCAGGTGCGAGCGCGGCGGCGAGCGCGCGGTGTCTTTGTCTTCCTGACCATTGCCATGATCAGCAGTAATCTCGCTGCCAAACATACGCGCGGAGCTTGTGCGGTGACTAGACTCGCCAACATCAGGCGTACGGGCAGTATCAGGCGTTCCCGACGTCGGCGTACCACCCGGGGTCAGCCCCGAAGCAGCCCGAACAGTCGCCAGCGACTTGAGCTTGTCATAAGGAACGTAGTGTGCAGCCCAAGGCGGGTACTGCGCAGCCACAAAGTCTTTGCCAAAGCCCATCTTCACCACCAGCAGTTAGCGAGCAGTACAGGCAATCAAGAGCAGGTGTGAGATGAATCGATCGCTCAAGCGTGAGAGATCTCAAGCGAGTTGGCTCGATGGCGATGAGAGGTCGATGACGAGTCCAAGATCCACAAGCTCTCCACCGGAAAAAAAAAGAAGAGCTTTGACAGAGATCGAACGCTTGTCCAAATAGATCGGTACTCTCAGCGATGAGCAGGTCGACGATGTTCGTCTGTGCCGGCAACGATCAGGTTGCGTGGCCGACCAGCAGCAGAACAGAGAGAGGAGAGAGAGTGGGAAAAGCGCTTCAGTCGCACCCTTCCCAACTCTGCGCGAGGAGAGGTGGACCAGGGGTAGACGACGAGAAGGCAAGGACCAATTCCTTGTGCAGGCCTTGCAGCAGCAGAGGCGTCAGAAAAAGGTCGCAAGGAAGCGTCGTCCCAGACACACCAAGTGGTTGTTGATCAAAGTGGTTGATCAAAGTGGCGACCGGGGCGGGGCGGGGCGAGGGAGGAATGGGCCGAGGGAGAAGAGCGCTGGTGAAGGGGATAGTTGGGGCAAGGGCTTGAGCTTGTGCTAGACACTGATGTCTTGTACAGGCTCTCTACTTGCTTCACTTTCCCCTTCCAAATGCTCAGACTTTGGCCCCACTCCCTGTGCAGGCGAGTCTTGCCCCCTTTCTCGCCGCACACCTCGTCCGGCCCGCGACACGCGTCACTGCCGCACCTCGGCTGCCACCGCCTTGTGGCCACGCCGCGGCTGACTCGGTCACCACTATTTTTTTCATTGGCCAATCGATGAAAATGCTGCTCATGGTCGACCTAGCAAGGACATAGCTAGGAGAGAAGGAGGCGAGATGGCAGAGGTGTGTGTGTGTGTGGGGGGGGGGGGGGGGGGAGGGAGGGGGAGGAGATTGGGATTGGGATCAGTCTTACTGATGACTGACATGATGATGCACCGCTGATTAAGCCGCAGTTGCCGCACGCAGTGCCGCGCCGCGTTGCTGCGTTGTCGCGTTGCTACGTGGCGAGGACGGCAAGCGATGGGAAGGCTGTTCAAGTGTGCGACGACTTGGATCTTCTCGAGGCGGCGATGAGCTGGGATCGGAGCTGCTTAAAGGCTGCGGTTCGCTTCTGGATCTCGACGAGAAACGTTGACTTGAGGGCTGACTTGAGCTCGGCAGCGGCAGCGAGGCGGGTGTGGAGCTGGGCGACTTCTTCGCGCGAGGCTTCGAGGGCAGCGGATGCGGCGTCGCGTTCAGAGATGGCGGCGTTGTACTTGTCCAGCAGAGTTGCGGCGCCGACAGCGCCCTGGCCGGCGATATCGCGGGCCGATTCGAGGGCGGCGCCTTCGCGGGCCTCGGCGACGGCCAGGCGGCTGGCGAGGTCGTCGTTCATGGCCTCCAGCTCGGCAATCTGGGCGAGGAGGAGGTGGAGCCGCGACTGGAGCTCGGCGTTTGCGGTGCGGGAGCGTTCAAGCTGGCGAGTGAGGCCGCTCTCGCGGGCGTCGGCGACAGCGGCCGAAGTTGCGGCGCGTGCGGCAGCGGCGGTTGCGGCGCGCTCTGCGGCGTCGCGATCGTCGGCGGCGGCCTGGAGCTGTGTAGCGGCATCGTGCGCGTGCATGTCCATCTCATCAGCGAGAAGAGCGAGCTCGAGCGAGGCCTCGACCGAGGGCGAGGCTGAGCGGCGTGCGGCGGCGGTGGCGGCAGTGAGGTGATCGACGCGGTCGAGACCCTCGACGCGGGCGACGTACTGGCGGAGCTTGGCGCGCAGCTGGCGGACGCGCTTCTTCTCGCGGGCCTCGGCGGCGGAGACGCGGGCGAGCTCCTCGCGGAGAGAGTGCAGCTCGAGTGCGGCGCGGGCGTTGGAGCTCTGGACAACAGCCGAGTCGAACGATGCTGGGTCGAGCGGCTCGCCGTCGGGCCCGGCCCGCGAGGCAGCCTCCAAGTCGGCGTTGAGCTGGGTGAGGGCGTGCATGTGCTCGGTGAGGTGGGCGATATGGGCTTCGAGGCGGATCTTATCGTCGCGGAGGCTCTCAACCTCTGCGGCGAGCGCGGTGTTGGTGGCGTCGAGCTGGGCAAAGTGCTCGCCGTACTCGCGGTCGACCTCGATGACTTCGGCGGCGGCGCGCTCCAGCTCGGCCGATCGGTTCAGGTCGCGGTTCTCCAGCGCGAGCGCTGCGGTCTCTGCGCGGGCAAGCGACTCGGCCAGCTCGGTATTGCGCTTGGACGAGTGGGCGAGCTCGAGCTCGAGCGCATCGACCTTTTCTTCAAGGGCCGACTTTTCCCGGACAAGGAGCTCGAACCGCTCGCGCGGCGGCGGGACCTCCCACGAGTGCGACCGCTGCAGGCCGAGGCCATCGGTCTCTTCCGGCGCATCCGGCTCGGGCTGTTTGCTCTCCGCCGGCTCACCGTACTGGTACGACTCGGCCCACAGCCGCAGAGCGTGGAGCTCGTCCGAGGTCCGGGCCAGCTCAGCAGCGAGCGAGTCGCGCTCTGACGTGGTCCGGGCCAGATCGGCGGTGAGCGAGTGGAGCGACGCTGGTGATGCGGCCGTGGGCGATGCCGTCGCAGCCGGCGATGTGACCGTTGGGAGCGACGCCGGCGAGCGCTGCTTGAGAGCGTCAAGCTCGGCGACTGCGTCCTTGTACGCCCGCGAGAGGTCGACCTGGAACTGGAGAGCGTCGACGAGCTGAGCCTCTAGAGCCGCGTTTTTCTCGGCTAGCTCTGCCGCTTGGCGGCGAGCCTTTGCCAGCTCTGCTTGCTGGCTGTCAAACAAGACGAGCAAGTGCGACAAGTCCGAGCTCGCCACCTGAAGCTCCGCCGCCGACGCAGCGGTCACGGCCGAGGCATGCGAGACGTGCGAGGTGACCGAGTGCGGCGAGCTAGCTCTCGAGGCTATGGACACACTTCCAGGCGACCGAGACGGTGACAAGTAGCTTGGTGTTCCCAACCTAGACTGTGACATGCCTTTACTGGCCACGTCACGTTGGTCAGCGAGGTGTTGCGCGGTGTGGCTACTTGGTGTGGGCGCCAAAATCAAGTTGGGGACGTGTGATAATACCATTGCAAGTTTGGCAGCCTTTTCCTGCAGCAGAAGGCGAGCGGCGGCGGCGGGGCGGCATCGGGCGGGAGGCGGCGGCTGTGTGTGTGTGTGTGTGTGTGTGTGTGTGGGGGGGGGGGGGCGACGAGAGGCGGCGATTCACTTGTTCCACCAGTACATGGCGATGACGATGATGCAAAAGGCGATGACCGAGGCAAGGATGTACATGTCGCGGCGCTTACGCGACTTGATCTTGGACATGATGTTGCCGATGAGCGGGAAGCGAGCAGACATGTCTGCGAGGCGCGAGTTGATGGAACGGAACTGGCCGGTCTCGCGGAGGAGCTCTGCGCGAGAGGCGGCAGCGGAGCCGAGGAGAGCGTCTGTCATGCGATCAGTAGCGTTGATGGCGCGTGCCTCGCGAAGGACATGCTCCTGCTCGGACTTGTAGGCGGCGATGCCCTCGTCCATCGAGTCGAGGAGTTGAATGCGTGCCAGGTAGTTGTTGACGTGATCCCTCGTCTTTCTGAACTCGACTTCAAAGTCGCGCAGCATCTCCCGATCCCGATGAAGGGTGTGAACCCTTGCCGGCGGCGGAGTCAGCTTTGATGCTGAGATGATGTTGCCCATGTTTGCCACGGTCTCCTTGAGAGCCAACAGAAGAGTATCCAGCTCCGCCGCGAGAGCATCAAAGGTCATCTTTGCCTCTGTCAGAGACGATGACGAAGCAGGACCAAGACCAGGTACAGAACCCATTTCCACATCAGCATATCCACCCGTTGTACCACCAGCTCGATGATGATCTTCTCCTTCCATACTCGAAAGACTTGCTCCGAGCTGAGACAAAGCAATGAGCTTGGAGTCGATCTCTCCTTCCAACTGCTTGGCACTCCGTCGCAACTCATCCCATCCTCCGCTAGCCATACTCTTTCGTCCTCTTTTCACAAAACTTTCACCACAGACTATATGTAACCTGTTCTAGATGCTAGTCTGCTTGAAAGCCAGATTTTCCCCTTTGTACCTAGCCCTGCAGTGAGTCGAGTCTTGGCACCCTTGTCAGCCAGACAGCACCGTCCCTCGCCACTCGTCGTCCGTCGGTCGGTGACCTGGCAGTCGTCGACAAACGGACTTTGACGCGGTTTGGCCGCAAGTGTATTGGAGGGCGTTGGGACGTGGATCAAAATGAAGGGAGAGTGTGGGGGAGGGGAGAGGAATCATGATCTTTATCTCGGTAGCGATGTATGTCTTGGCGGCGATCTCCATCTAGAGGCCGAAGCAGAGGCGATCCTCAGTCTGGACGATCATGTCGTCCTTGCGAGGGTGGGACAAGGGGAGCGATCCATGGACGTGGGCACGTTGGTTGGCGGGAAAGCAAGTGATTTTGGCCTGCTAGGGTCTGGGCTGAGAGACTGGGCGCGTCTTGTTGGTAAGGATGGCTGCAGAACCTGGGTTCGGAGTTCCTTCTCGACCAGCGACTGGCAGCCGAGCCCATTCCTTCTCATCGATGCACCCGCTATCTGCATCGCCACTCATCTCAAACATGTCCGCACGTGGATCACCTCCCACATCAGGTAGTAGAGCTCGCGCCCCGCTCGATGAGCGACTTGCGGCGGCGGCGGCTCGGAGGAAGGCTGCTGCGCGTACCGCTCGTTCCGTGCGAGCAAAGGAGGCGGCGGAACGTGCGCGGCGGACCGCGTCATCAAAGACTAAAGGATGCACCAACTGCTACGAATGCGTGACCAATCCTGGATATGCAGCCGCCTTTATCTGCTTTGCGCCCTGCCATTGCACCTGCCACACATCGGCGCACTACTATCCCGATGGGAGGTGATGCACCTGAACCGACCGATCACCGACCGATCAACCCGTTCCACTCCTCCCCGACTCGAGTCGCGCCCTCCTCTCACCCTTGCTCCGGCCATGACATCAATACACGCCGTATCCAGTCTCTCCCCTTCTCTGCCCACGACCACGACCACGATCACAAGCAAGATCACGACCACGAGCACGACCACGCGATCACGACCATGATCACGATCACGACCACGACCACGCGATCACGACCATGATCACGATCACGACTGCGATCAAGATCATGATCACGCCCACAATCGCGCACGTTCACGATCACCAGCACGATTCCCATCTCTTCATCCGCTAGGCGGTGAGGGAGAAGGACAAAGCGACAGGCTGCCATGTCTGCCATTCCGATCATTTCTTCCATTGAGCGAGACAAACTGGCATCGGAGACTGGCATTCCCCCCCCCTCCCACCAACAGGCGATAGTCAAGCCACTTCACCCCCCCCCCCCCCCCCCCCCCCTCCCCCCCGCGCTGACCCGTCATCCCAGAAGGACGACTAGGAACAAGAGACAGACAAGAGACACCAACCGTAGTCTGTAATACTCCTACCGAGCCCATAATGGAAGCAGTTGCCACCTCTCCACAGGCTGTACCACCTCCACCCGACCACCAGGCTGCTACTATGGAGCCATATCTCACCCAGCGATTGACGGCAGAGACACCTTGGTGTCTCATCGCTCGCACCGTACGCCTTTTTTTTTTTTTCTGAGGTCAAGACAATTTCTCTCTCTCTCTCTCTCTCTCTCTCTCTCTCTCTCTCTCTCTCTCTCTCTCTCTCTCTCTCTCTCTCTCTCTCTCTCTCTCTCTCTCTTCACCATCTTCCCGTTCCCGTCCCCCCCTCCCCGTCACAGCTTTCTCTTTCTCTCTGAGCCTCTCTGTACCGACACCATCATCGTACATACATACATATATATGTTTTGGGGGGTCTGGCGTGTTTTATTTCGGCTGAAAAAATCTTTGGGAAATGACGCCTGCGTTTGTTAGATTTGCATGCAAGTTCTCCCTCCTTCCCTTCTTCTCTACAGCTGGGCTTGGCCTTGGTTGATCTCTGTCTCCCTCTTTCCTCTCCTCTGTTCTCACTCTTTGTCGGCTTGCTCTCGTCCGTAGTGGTTTGATGAATGGAAGGCGTACGCAGGTCTGTTTGATGGACACTCGTCGTCTACCCTCCCTGGTGCTATTGATAACGGTCCGCTGGTGGTCGACATCGACGCAGAGACACCCGAGCTGAAGGAGAGGCTGCTGGACGGGACCGATTACGAGCTTATTCCCGCACCGGGCTACGATCAGCTGGTGGCGTGGTACGGCGGCGGCCCGCGGATTACCCGCCACGTCATTGCTCTCGGTGTCTCGTCGCAGCTCGTCTGCGAGGTCTATCCACTCAAGCTTCGCCTTGTCCTCGCACCGGACCTCGCGACCGACGCTGTTGTTCTCCACCTCTCCAAGCTCGCCACCATTGCCGACCTCCGTGCCGCCATCATTGACGCTCTCGATCTCGACGTCGATAACGACCATGTCCTTCACTGCCATAACTTTTTTGGCGACGTGGCAGCCGAGGATTTGCTCGATCCGGCGTCATCGGATCTCGCCGAGAGTCACACCCTCGATCGTGCATGCCTTGTTCACGGGCAGAAACTGCTGATCTCGCTTGTGCCGGTCGACGGCGGCGTGGCCTCTGCGTCAGACTCGGACTCGATCGTGGCGCTCGTCTCCGACTCGGACTCAGACAGCGGCGCCGACGGGTGGAACATGTTCCCGCCGACCACCTCGCAGTGGTCGTACAGCCCCGGCGGTGTCGCTCGCCGGGCGCGACCGCTCGGTACTGCCGGCGTCGAGCGCATCGGCGCCGTCCCGGGCGTCTGCGGGCTCTCCAACCTTGGCAACACGTGCTTCATGAACTCGGGCCTGCAGTGCATCACCCACGCACCGCAGCTCGTTGAGTACCTCCTTGCCGACAAGCACGTGCCAGAGATCAACCGTGACAATCCGCTCGGCATGTCCGGCGAGGTCGCCGACGAGTTTGTCGCCCTCCTCAAGCTCATGTGGTCGGGCAATTACGCCTCGGTCGCCCCGCGCTCGTTCAAGTACACTATTGGTCGCTTTGCGCCGCGCTTTGTCGGCTTTGGCCAGCAGGACTCGCAAGAGCTCATCGCCTTTCTCCTTGATGGCCTCCACGAGGATCTCAACCGCATCCTCGACAAACCGCTCGTCCCGGTTGTCGAGGCTGCCGGCCGCCCCGACGATGTTGTCGCCAGCGAGGCCTGGACCGGCCATCTCCGCCGCAACGACTCGGTCATTGTCGACCTCTTCCAGGGCCAGCTCAAGTCGCGCGTTGTCTGCCCCATGCCCGACTGCGGCAAGGTCTCGGTCACCTTTGACCCGTTCATGTACCTCTCCGTCCCGGTTCCCGACGGCGGCCCGCGCCAGCTCACCGTCCGAGTCGTGCTTGCCGACCCGACCGCCAAGCACGTCATCGCCAAGATCTTCGCCGCCCCGGGCGACACTGTCGCCACACTCAAGTCCAAGGTCGCCTCGCTCGTGAGCTCGGACCCGCATCGCCTCATCCTCGTCGAGATCTATGACCACAAGCTTTACAAGACCTTTGATTCGGACTACGAGGCCCTCGCAGACATCCTTGACGAGGACGTCCTCGTTGCTTACGAGATCCCAAAGGCTCTTGCGACTCTCCCGCCGTACAACCCGGCCCTCGCCCAGCCTACTTTTCCTGCACCCACCGACGCCACGGCCCCGCCCGATGAGGCGCCAGCTGCTTCGGACTCGGACTCCGACTCTTCCAACACCGCCGCACTCAAGGCCAACGCCGATGCTGCCAACTTGCCGCCGACCACCGGCTCGGCGCTGCCGCTCTCCGATCCCCGCTGCCCGTACATGGCGTTTCCCATTTCGCACACCAAGCTGGAGTTCCGGGCCCCGCGTTCGGCCTTCTACCGTGCCTCGCGCAAGCCCGTGCTCACCCAGGTCGCCTTTGGCGTCCCCTCGCTCGTCTTTCTCGCCAAGCCTGTAGCCAACCAGGCCGCTGTGGAGGAAGCACTTCTCGACAGCCTCGCCCGCTACGTCTCGCGCCCGACTGACGACGACCTGGCCGCCGCAGGCCTCGTCGGCGATTCCGAAGAGCGAGCTGCCCGCAAGGCCGAGCGCAAGGCCGCCCGTCGCGCCGCCGCCAAGGCCGCCCGCACCAAGCGCCGCGCCGCGCACAGGGTCAAGAAGATCCAGGTTGCCGAGCGAACCAAGAAGAAGAACGCGGCCAAGGCCGCTGTCCGCGAGGTGGTCGCGGCTGCCAGGGCCGCTGCGCGCGGAGCAGGCGTCGACGCCCTCGATTCGTCCGATACCGACGACTCAGACCTTGACACGCCCAGCATCTCCGGCTCGACGCTCTCGTCCCTCTCGGACACGCTCTCGACCTCGGGCTCGACCGAGATCGACTCGTCCGACTCGTCCGACTCGGACGTCGATTGGGCCACGCTTGGGGTGCCTGAGGAGACGCCGACCAAGCTTGTCCATCTCGGCCCGGATGGCCGCGGCCCGTCGGTTGACTCGTACATCCGCGGTCGAGTTTCGGCCGCCGCCGAGACCACCTTTGTCGCCACGTGGAATGCCAAGCTCCTTGACGCATGCTACGACACGGCTGGCGCCGATGCCTGCCGCGCCGTCACCGAGCTCCCACCCAAGGCCGACGACGAAGCTCCCAACGTACTCTCGTGCCTCCGCAAGTTTACCAAGGAAGAGCAGCTGGGCGAGGAAGACCTGTGGTACTGCCCAGACTGTGAGACCTTCCGGCAGGCGACGAAGAAGTTTGACCTCTATTCGCTCCCGGACGTTCTGGTCATTCATCTCAAGCGGTTCCGTCAGTCGCGCTACTCGCGCGAGAAGATCGACGTCCTCATTGACTTTCCGCTCGAGGGCCTCGACCTCGGCGAGTTCCTCCCCGAGTCGGCCGCCGAGCAGGTAGCCGGGGCCACCGTCTACGATCTCTTTGCTGTCTCGGACCACTTTGGCGGCCTCGGCGGAGGCCACTACACGGCCCACGCCAAGAACCACCAGACCGGCCGCTGGCACTACTTTAACGACTCGTCCACCTCGGTTGTTGTCGGCGATGACGACGTCGTCTCTGCTGCTGCCTACCTGCTCTTCTACCAGCGCCGCGGCGCAGAACTTCACGTCCCCAACAAGCCGCCGGTCCGCCCGCCGCCGGCCTCTGACGACGGCGCATCGTCCGCATCCTCGGATCGCACCCGCGGCGAGCCCGAGGCATTGGACGATGACCCAACCGCGTCGGGTGCCGAGCCGTTTGATCTTGACGGCTCAGACGCAGCGTTCTACCGAGTGTAGTGCCCGTCGCAGACCGCTGGCGGACTTGTTGCCGTGGGCGTCTCGGCTCCGTCCGCACGCCGCGGCAGAGCACACGAGTTTACACACCGATGGGGATCCACTTCTTTGGATCGGTGGCGTACGTGATGTCCTTGGGCGAGACAAACACCCCATGACCAGACTTGCACTTGAAGTACCGGTAGCCATAGACCGAACCGTCGTGCTTGCCCACAGGCTTCATAAGCTCAACCCCGACCCAGATGCCCTGGCCAAAGAAGGTCGGCCCAAGGTAGCGGATGATGCCATCGGCGTAGCCTGAGACAGACACCGTTTTGCCGAGCGCGAGCTGCGACGGCGCCACGGCCTTGCCGGTCCGCCCTCGCTTCCCGTTGCGGCCCTTGCTCTTGCCCTTGCTGCTCTTGGCCTGCTCGCTCCTACCGATCTTCTTCCTCCGCCGGATCCGAACCCGTTCGCCGCCTGTTCCGCCGTTGGCCTCGGCCAGCGACTCGGCAAACGTCGGGGCTCGCCCATCCGCCGACATCCGCAGCGTCGATCGGCCACCAGCAAACGCCCGGGGCGAGTGGCCCACTTGGTCTTGCGCCGCTGCCGCCGCCGCCGCCGCCGCAGCCGCAGCGGCAGACGCCTCTGCCGCTGCGGCAGCGGCTGCCGCGTCAGCCGCCGCCGCCATCGCGCGATCGCGCCGCTGCCGCGCCTCAGACTCACCTAAAACCGATTGCATAACCGCATCCGCGCGCGCATCCAGCTGCTCGTGACCACTGACAGCATGCTGCTGTTGCTGCTGGCGGTAAGCGGGCACGCCAGGTGGAGTCCGCAGTTGTGACGGCGAGACCGGCGCCGGCCATGCCGGCAGCGGGTCCGCCATGGCAGCTGCAGCCCGGATCCGCGCGCTGTGAGTGTGGCTGCCAGCGGCGACAGCTGCGGATGACGACGCGTCACTAACTTGACCATTGCTGGCGTCCGACTGGAAGAATCGCCGAGTCCACGGGCCGTCTGGCGTCGCTGTCGCCTGTTGCGACGGCGAGTCGTACATCTCGGCCTGTTGCGCCATGGCGCCGACCGAACGATGGACTGCATGCTGCGGCTGGGCTGCTTCGCCGCGGGTCATCTGCGCATGCTGCGGAGCCACCGCAGGCATCTGGGCTGGCACCGGCGTCTCGCCGAGCTGGGTCGGCCGCGGAGGCCGTGCAGGCCGCGGCTCTGGCTGGGCCTGAGCTTCGGCCTGGGCTTCGACATGCGCATGGGCTTGAGCTTGGGCCTGAGCTTCGATGCTCATGCCTGACATCGACGACGCCGCCGAGTTTGCCCGGCTTCTGCTCTGACCAGACGTGGTCGAGTTGGCGGTCGAGTTTGCGCGGCTTCGCGGGATGAGCTCCTCGCCTGGATTGGGAGTAGTCATGCCGCTGCGCGGCGTGGCTGTAGTCGATCTTGTTCGCCGGGCGTCGAGGGCAGCCTGGACGACCGACGAGCCGACGCTTGCCTGCTGCGGACCACCTGCTGCAGCAAGCGCGGCGCCAGCGAGGGTCGCCCGGCGCGGGGCAGGAGTGGTCATCGACCCGTGGCTCGCCTGGCTCGTACCCGCACTCATCGACGACGACGTCGGGTAAGTCCCGCGTCCCGCCTCCTGCTGGGCGTAGTAGCGCTCTGTCCAAGAGGCTGGTGTCTGCGAGCCCGCTGCCGAGGAAGCCGGAGCCGTCGAGCCGTAGCGGGCAGCAAAGCCCGGCGATGGCCCCGCCGGGGCATCGTGGGTCGCACCCATGCTGGTCTGGGCCCGCGCGTCGCGCTTGTATGGGTTGGGCGAGAGCGAGAGTGGAGGCGTGGCGGCACGCTTCTTGGCGTGCCACTCCTCCTCGGCCTGCAGCAGGATCCGGGCCATGTCGTGACAGCCATGAGTGGCGGCGTACTGGGCCGGCGTGCCGATGCGCGGCAAGTTGAAAGCGGCAGCGAGTGAGGCGGCACCGCGAGCGTCGACGGTGGCGCCATGCGGATCGCCGACCTGAGTCGGATCAGCGCCCAGGTCAAGGAGCGTGAGCAGCATGTCCATCCGCTCGGGCGCCTCGGCTGGGTTGTCGGTCACGCAAAAGTGAAGCGCCGAGCAGCCCTCGATGGTGACCTGGTTGACGTCTGCGCCCATTTCGAGCAGATACTCTGCCGCCGGACCGTTGCCGTTGGCGATGGCAAACATGAGGAGGGTGACGCCGCCATGGGCATCCGGATACCTCTCGTTGACGTCGACACCTGTGTTCTCGACGGCGTACTTGAGCCACTTGAGGTCACCCTGGGCAATGAACTCGCGAGCGCGCTCCCACTCCAGCTGAAGCTGGCGAGCCTCATCGTCGGCCAGCGCCGTAAGCCACTGATCGCGGAGCGCGGCGCGGGCGACTGGATCGTGCCTCGTTGCCCGCCACTGTGAGATGGGCATGGTCGACTCAAACTTGGCCTCGGACGAGCGGAGGACAGATGCGGCGCGTTCCAGCGCAAGCGGCGTGCCGCCGACCCGGTTGCGGATGGTGTAATCGGCGCCGAGGAGGAGGAGGAGACGGACGGCGCGGGCGTGCCCGAGCTCGACCGCCAGATGCAGCGGAGTGTTGCCGTGGACATCGATCCCGTTGATAGCGACACCTGCGTTGGCAAGGAGCATGAGCTCTTTCCGGTAGTGATGGTTGCCAAAGGAGCGGATGAGGATGTGTAGCAGGGACTCGTTGTTGTGGCTCGGATCCTTGAGCTCGGTGACGGGCAGGCCCGCGGCGACGTACTGCCGCAAAACTCCGTACTCTCCACGAGCCACCACACCAAAGATGTCGTCTCTCACATCGTTAACCGCTGGCACCACGGAAGCCGGCAACAGACGCGATGCCTGCATAGACACCATTGAGCTGGTCATCGAGCCAAACGACGCCTCTGACAAGCCAGCACTCCTTCCGGTCTCGTTCATCGTCGTCTCGCCCATCGAGCTCTCCCCGAACGTCGTCTCTCCCCCAAACGTCGTCTCGCCGAGCGAGATGTCGCCAAAGGTCGTCTCGCCCATGGTCGTCTCGCCCATGGTCGTCTCGCCGAACGTTGTCTCACCCATGGTCGTCTCGCCGAACGTTGTCTCGCCGAACGTTGTCTCGCCGTGGTACCGATTTGAATTTCTTCCGCCATGCCAATTGCCCGACAAATGGCCATCCCCACCAGCAGCCGTGCTCCGGTGTGCACCTACATATCCACCACCAGAAGCCCGACCAGGAGCCCGACCAGGAGCCAGTGCCGCCAGACCTGAGCCAGTCGAGCTCGTACTCGACATGCTATCATCGACAGCATGTCGTCCTCGGCGGATACTCTGCCAAGAGCTCATACCTAATCACACTCACACACTCGATGTGTCTCTATCTCTATACTACCAAGCAATGGTCAAAGAGTCGAGTCTTGTCCTCCACCTTTACCTGCCCGTCTCCCTTCACCTCCTCCGTGCCCGTCTCCTCGCTCAACGCCAACGTCGTTTGGGCGGTCAACGGACATTCGTTCAAAAGGCGCCAAAATTTTTGAGTTTTTCATCACACAGGCGTACCTTTTCCTGCCCCAAAAGGCTTGAGGTCGCAAGTACAGAGGCGATCGAGTGTAAGGTTGGAACTGGCATGTTGAGGTGATGTTGGAAGTGGGGTTAGCGGGGGAGGGTGCGAAAGAAGGGGTGGGGGATGGTGGAAAAAGCAGAAAGAGACGACGTTGGCGATTGATCAGTGATCAGCTCCAAATCAGAGTCTGATGCGACTCGAGGACAAGGGTTTGTCAAGGGGATGATTCCATGACAAGAGCGCTCGCACAGAAGAAATCATGTGGGAGGAGACAGTTGGGCGTGGAATCCTGTCGTCATTCGCGATCCAGAGCAAAATGTGCTACCAGTGGGTGTTGACGGGCGAGCGAGTCGGCCGGCGGCTGCGACGGACGCCTGCGGCAGTCCCGGTCGAGGACACTTTTCTCGACGTTGTACGCAGCACCACATCATCTCAGCTGGACGAGATCTGGAGTACAGGTAGTCATGAGCAGTGGCAGCAAAGGCGAGCAAGTTTCTGTGATCGGAGCGTCGTACTTTGGGCAGGGGACGGTGGTGACGACGGGCGTGTGTTCGACGACCGAGTGCAGCTGCGGATCGGGCAGTCTGGAGCTGCCGGTTTATTTTGGCGGACCTGCCTTTGCCGAGACCCGCGATGAGCAGGCGAGCCAACTGGTGTTTGTGTGCATACACGGCGGAGGCATGTCAGCACTCTCATTCGCACCGATGGCCAAGCACCTTGTGGCCAAGGGCCTCTCGATCGTGGCCATGGATCTTCCAGCTCACGGCGGCGCGACCGATGGGCCGCTGGACATGGCGACGCTGATTGGCGCAGCAATCAACTCGGCGCGACGTGTTCTGATTGATCACAATCTTCTTGTCCCGGGAAGTGGTGCGAGCGAGAGCTCGTGTCCGGCGGCAGGGTGGGACGGTTCGACGCCGGCGGCGCACCTTGTGCTGGTGGGCCACTCGATGGGAGGCGCTGTTGCGACGCGGATTGCGGCGGATCCGCAGCTCTCGGCCGGCCTGCCTGCTGTGGGGCTGACGGTTCTGGATGTGGTCGAAGGAACTGCGCTTGCAGCAGCCGACGGGATGGGTGCGCTTCTTGCAGCGCGGCCGGCAAGCTTCGACAGCGTTGACGACGCGGTGGCGTGGCACCTCGCGACGGGACTGATGCGGAACCCAGATTCTGCTGCGACCACAGTGCCACCACTCGTGGTGGATGCTGGCGACGGCGGCGAGGGCGTAGTGTGGCGCACGCCGCTGGCGAGCTCGGCGGATCAGTGGGACTCGTGGTACATCGGGCTCTCGGAGCTCTTCCTCGCGGTACCGCACCGCAAGCTGCTCGTACTCGCCGCCACCGACCGGCTCGACACGCAGCTGATGGTGGGCCAGATGCAGGGCAAGTTCCAGCTCAAGATTATTCCAGACGTCGGACACTGGCTCCACGAGGACGATCCAGCGGGAGTGGCGAACACGCTCCACGGCTTTGTTCACTTCTTTGGATGGATGCCGAGCGAGCACTAACACTATGACGACGACTCGGCACTGGCATCGTTGTACGCTGGATTGACTTGCCCGCTGTCACTGAGCAGGCGATCGTGTTCGCAGCGAGGACAGGTGCAGACAAAGCCGTACTCTTGCAGCTCGCGAGTTCGTGTGGCGTAGTCAGCTTCGGCCGGGACGTACGAGACAAAGAGCTGTTCACCGGCGGCGATGTCGCGAAGAGTGATGAGGACGACGAGGCCGTCAGGATCCTCGGGGTCTTTGGCGGACTCGACGTTGGGCACGCACGAGTGGTTGGTGTTGGCGTGGACGGCAAAGACGCCGAGGCCCTCGACATCCTCGTTGCCGAGCTGGTCCATGGCGCCGGCCAGGGCAGCGAGAACGGGCCCACCTGCGGCAGAGATCCGCAACTGCTCACTCGCGGGCAGTTGGCGCATCTGTTCTAGGTAGGTGTGGACGGGCGAGACGACGAGCATGGAGACCGAGTTCATCTCGAACATGCCCATGACATGTGCGAGCGTGTCGACAGTGAAAAGCGGTGCGAGGGCCGGATCGCTATCGGCCACAATGGCCCACAGCATCGGGGCGAGGCGCTCGACATCAGCGCGATGGGCAGCTTCAAACGCCTCGCGATCAAACTCATACTCGTACTCGTGACCGTACTCGTCGTCGTCGTCGCTCTCGGCGGGACACACCACCTCCCACCACGGGCGCGAGTGGAGGAGCGAGATGGGCAGGCGGGCGCGGTCGAGGTCTGGGCGCTTCATCGCTCTGTAGCGAGAGACGACGTAAGCCAAGATCTGCGCGGCCATGTAAAAGGCTTCGTTGGTCTCCTCGAGCACCTCGTCACACAATTGCTTCAGCGCAACTTGCTTGGCGATGTTGCCCTCAGCAGCGGCGGCACCGATGCAGAGCAGGGAGTGATGCATAGCCCAAGAGACCGAGCGGCATGACTCGGAACAGAACTCGATGTCACATCCATCATCAGCATGAGCACATGGCAAAGGAAGCGGGAGCGGGTGAGGGAGGAGCTCATCAACCAGCGGCAGCGAGCCCGGAGAGATGGAAGCAGAGCAGTTTGACGAGATCGATGACGAGGGGAGAAGATCCAAGGCGATGACGAGCTTGTTCATAGCCTCTTCTAGAGGCCCCAGCGGACGGAGACAGTGAGCACAGGCGCGGAACTTTTTCCGATTTGTCAAATGTTGCATGTTCGCCACGGGCTGCTCACGGAGTATGACCGTCTCGGCCTTGATGTCCTCGGTGGCAAACAAGCCCTTGCCCATCTTCGCCGTCTCCCGAACCTGTACAACCATGCCCTTGGTTAGCCGTGCATAGTACCTCTCTTGCGCCCCTGGCCCTGTGCTGGCCATGATTGCCGTGTGTCGTCCGGGAGAGGTATTTGAGCAGACGGTTGGGTGGAGGGGGGTGGGGGTGGGGGGCGGGGGGGGGGGGGGGGGGGCGAGTGGCTATGGGTATGGAGATGATGATGATGATGGGGGAGATGATGATGATGATGGGGGAGATGATGATGATGATGATGGGGGAGATGATGATGATGATGATGGGAGAGATGATGATGATGATGGGGGGTGATGACCATGATGATGGGGGGTGATAACCATGCTGACAACCATAATGATGATGACAACAACCATAACAATGATGACTGTGGCTTATCCGGTTGGTACTGATCATCGCTGACGCAGTAGCGGTAGACACGTTTTAATCTTGAAGGCCCGTTAGTTGAGCGCGGGCTCAGACTCGCTGACCTCGCTCAGCAGGCCACCGCCGTCGAGAAGACCGACGTGCTCGTCGTGGCCACCAAGCCACGGGCGTCGGACACCCTTGCCGCGCTCGCGAACGACGCTGCCGTCGAGAGTCCGCCCGCGGACGAGAACAATGCCACTAACGAGCCACTGGCCCCAAAAGGCGATGGCCCACAGTGCGACGACAGCGACCGAGCCGCCGGCATCGAGAAGGTGCAGAGCGACACCACCGAGGATGCCCGAGATAAGCGAGCCGACGGCAGCCACCGCGCCGTGCCGCAGCCGCTGACCGCCCTGCAGCATGTTCCACGCCGGCGCCACTAGCTCGCCGGCCAGCGCCACGCTCCACAGCACAAGCGAGACGCGGGCTGAGGCACTGCTGTCCAGCGCGGCGGCGCTGAATGCGGCACCGAGGCTCAGGCCGTAAGTGAGAACGGCTGCCGCCAATTGCGGGGGGTGGACATCGTCAAGCGCGACGTGCGCGCCGGCCATGACCACGCGAAGCCGAGTCCTCCCGGCGTCGCCGAGGACGCCGAGCCCGAGCACGCACACACCGCAACCAACAAGTAGACCGTCACCGGCCGACTCGAGTCCATGCGCCAGTGCAGGCACGGCAAGGGCAAAGGCGGCAAGGCCGAGGAAGACCCGGCCGATGCTGGCCACGATCCACGCCGAGTACCGCCGCTGCCGGGCCATGACGTGGGCGATGGCAATAGCCACGGTTCCGGCCGCCGCTGCGCCGACGAGACCAGCGCTCATCTTGCGCCACAGTGCGTCGGTGTCCGGTGAAGGCTCTACCGCGGTGCACTGGACACCGCCGAGGTTCGCCACGGCTTGGTAGCCGGCGGCAACAACATCGACGGTGGCCGGCGCCCATGACGGGAGCTTGCTCCGCGAGACAAGCGCAAAGACGACAAACCTCGCCCAGCCAAAGCGGTCGCCAAAGACCTGCCCGAGACCGTAGTCCAGCCCGCGCTCGGCGTAGACCAGCGCGCCGAGAGTGAGGATGACACAGGCAACCGCAGATGCAACGACAAAGCCCATGAGCGCCCTGTCATACTTGGCGCTGCCGGATTCAGCGTCGACGCCGAACGTGAGGTCACCAAACGGCTTGCACAGCAGTCCGTCACGGCGCTTTTCGGCGCTCACGCCACCGACCACTCGCCACTGCGCAGCGTCTGCGCACTCGCTCAGCTCCTGCCGCGACCGACAAGGCCCGCCAAACACCGCATCGGCCCGCAGCTGGCGGGCTGTGCACTGTGACGAACTGTAGCAACTCCAGCCACAGCCGGACTCTCCGCAATAGTCAATCGAGAGCACGCCAGCGCCGTTGTTCTTGACCAGCCCAGCCTCAACCACGACACCGGTCGCGGCACCGTGGCGTGCGTTGACAAGCTGGAGCTCCGCACCCGAGCCGCGCGGTTCAAAGACGACGCTCGGCAGCGAGCGTGCAAACTTGCCCAGGAACCGATCTTCCGACGTTGCCGTCGTACGAGTTCCACTCCCGACCACACGCAGCTGGACAGCGCCAAACATGGCGCTGCCGGGCCGTGCCACCTGAACGTCGACCGCTCTTGCACCGCTCCCGCGGACGACAACGACCCGGCCGTCGACAGCACTGGTCTCGGCACCGGCGACCCAAACCGTGGCAGCAACATCGACGACAACATCGCTTGCGGCAGCGCTGGAGACAATAGTGGCCGGCACGTTGCGCACACCCGCAGTCGTCGATCCGAGCGTGACCCGGCATCCGGCGCCGCTGACGCTCACGCTAGTCTCCTCCGCGCTTGCGCCCATAAATTCGAGACCGAAGCGGGTACCGACGCCAAAGCAAGCAAGCTCGAGCGTACCGTCGTCTGCGACAACGCCGGTGTGAACGCGGAGAGCCGCCGACGCGCGGGTGGCAATCGCAAAGGTGGTGCCATCGTCCCGAGTGACCAAAGTCACGGCTTCGGCGCCGCCGACCTCTGTCGCCACAGCAGACCAGAGCTGAGTATCGGCCAGCACCACCTGCGCGGCTGGATGGGTTGCGTTGAGCAGCGCCACATTGGCGCCGGCAGCCATGCGGGTCGCGGTGAGGTTAGCGGCGGCCATGGCCACCGACTCAACACCAAACAGGCCGGCGCCACAACCAGAGGCCTGCGCCACCGGGACCGGGGCCAGGCCAGCGATCCGGATGACGGCGGCAGGCATGCTCGACTTGGAAACGGCACCATGCGCCGAGAGGCAGGGGCCGTCCAGATCGACAGCATCCGAGCCGACAAACTGTGCGGTCGTTGTCTGACCAACCAGCCATATCGGTGCGGCGGCGGTAACCAGCGCGCCGCTCGTCGCGTCGACAGCACCGCCCGAGATCAGAACCGGGAACGCGAACTGAGCCGGGAGGACCACGTTGCCGGCGCCGACCACGACGATTGCAGAGTCGAGGCCGGTGGAGAGCGGTGCGTTGGCGACGTCGACCACGGTGCCAGCCGCCGCCTGCGTGTCAATGACCACCACGTCGACATGCTGGACGGTCAGCCGCAGGCCGCCGACCACAACACGACCGTAACCACCGTAGCCGAGGTCGTGGACGGCGACCATGTATGATGCACCAGCCGGGAGCAAAGGCAGGGTCACGACGACAGTTCCGTTGCTGCCGGCCTCGCCGTTGACGGCGACCACCGTCGGCTCGGCCACTGAGCTCAGCGCTAGATCCAGGACCCAGTTGCGCGCCACCTTGCCGGGTTGGCTTGCCGACGCGGCTGCAAAGGTGGACTGGGACGAGAGCGGGAGCTGCACAACCTCCATGGTCTCGCCGTCGACAAGATCAAAGTCGAGATGCCCGCCGACGGGAGTTGTCACGTTGACGACTGCCGGAGAGCCGCCAAAGTAGCCCGCCAGCCACGGGTAGGCAGACATATCCGGCGTCCCGCGGAGAAGCGACATCGAGTCCTTGGTGGTGAGGTGCGAGACCACCAGCCTGGGCGCCGGCATGCCGAACCCACTCGGCACCACGGAGTCGCCCTTGAGCAGCGACGGCGCCAGCGGGGCCATCTCCTCGGGCGCCCAGAAGACAACCACATCTGCGGCAGCATCTCCCCCGACAGCGATGCGGGCATCCGAGTTCAGCGGGCCCTCGAAGTTGGCAAAGTCAACGCCCTCGCCGAGGTCGACGTCCAGCTGCGCAGCGTCGCCAGACTTCAGCCAGGTGAGCAAGTCGATGCCGCCTCCGGTTGCAGCGTGCAGCACGACGTTGGAGACGCCGGCGCCGAGAAGGCCGTCGCGTCCGCCGCCAGTTGTCACGTTCATGACGTACCGTGCAGGGCTGGCGGCGTAGGCCAGCTGGCAGGCCGGCTTGCCGTCGCTCCCAGCTGGCACACCAAGGACCGTCGCCAGCGCCGTCGCCCACGGAGTAGCGGCGATCTGCGGCCGCTGCGGCACGCCCGACTGCGGGGCGGCGCGACAGACACGGTGCGCGGCAAAGTCAAACCACTGCGGGATGGCGTCGGGCCCAGTGGCGGTCGCTAGTGTCAACAATGACGCCTCAGCCGTGCCCACAAAGACGGGGGCATGGATGGCCGCAAGCGGATGCTTGCCGGAGCCCGGCTCACCAAAGGCGATATCGATCGTTCCGTTGGCGATGACGGCTGCTGAAGTAGCGGCCATAGCGAGGTTTGCTGGGCCGACAGATGCGTAAAGCACTTCGGTGACAGCCGAGACGAGTTTGTGAGAGACGCGCGAGCCACCAACGCCGAGCAGAATTCTCGCCCGGTTGACATCACCGACAAAAGTGACGCGGAGACCGGCGGTCTTGCCGTTGGTCACCACCACGCCACTGTCAGTCACCGCATACTGCAGCTCGCGGGTATCGTGGCTCGCCATCATGTGCAGCTCGACGACGTTGTCGGCGTCAGCGCTGACGATTTTGATCTCGCACTCGTAGTCGGTGAGGGTGAGCGCGCCGTTGCCGAGGATGACGGTGTGCTTTCCCCCGCCTTGCGGGAAGACGTTGAGCGCAGACTCACGGGTGCAGCCGCGCAGGTCGTAGGTCAAGGTGGCGTCGGGTGCTCCGCTGCTGATCCCGTGTAGATTGACGGTCGTGCCCGAGACCGGCGCAGCCACATACAGCCCGACAGTCTTCTTGTTCGCCGAGGCATGAACGTTGACGTTGAGCGTTTGGATATTGCCAAAGCCAACACCGCGCGACGGGGCCGAGTCAAAGCCGCCGAGGACAAAGTCGGCCATGACGTCCGCAAAGGTCGCGTCCTTGGCCAGTGTGACACTGAGGCTGTTGGCGTCACCGCCAGCACCGTTGACCGTGACCAGCGAGCCGAGGGCCGCGAGGTCGGCAACCTCAAAGATGTCGTCGCCATCGCCGCCCGCGGCCGACGTCGCGGTTCCGACTGGAGCCGCCGCGACGGTAAAGGTCGTGGCCAGCGATGGTGAGCCCTTGAGCTGCAGCCGCGAGAAGAGGCCGTCAGCGGCGAGGGCGACCGCCAGCTCCGAGCTTGCACCGAGCATGACGGTAGCAGCCTCGATGCGGATCGCGTCGGTGACGACGTCAATGGTGAGGGTGTCGCCGCCCGAGCCCGAGAGCGAGACGCCATGGCCACCGTAGGCGACCAGAGCGCCGGAAACGGTCACGTTTGTCGCAGACGCGACCGAGACACTGACCGGGCACACAGCGCCTTGGACCGCGATGACGGCGCGGTCGACGGGCTCGGTGAGGCTCACGCTTCCACAGGTCTTGCCGAGCGAGGCGCCAGCGCCGCCGGCGGCGCTCACCTTGAGCGCGCTTGCCACATAGGTGGGCGTCCCACTTGCCGGGGCATGGTACGCCATCGGCAGCTCGACATGAGCGGCGGCGACCGACGGCAGCGCCACAGGCGTCGCCGACCGCGGCACGACCCGGAAAGCGCCACTGGCGGATCCGGCAAAGGTGACGACCTTGGCGGTGGCGGCGGTGACGCCGCGGGTGGGCAGAGCCTCGCCGACCGGCTGGCCGGGAACCACAAAGGCAAACCAGAGCATGCCGTTGCCGGCGTCGTCGATGGTGTAGGTGGGCATGGCCGAGGAGCTCAGCAGCATCATGGACGGATCAACAAGGCCAAGGTTGATGGCGCCAGCGCCCGACGAGACAGCAGGCACCGACTGCGGGTTGAACTTGTCGGTGAAGACCACGTGCGAGCCGTCCCAGTGGACGACGGTCCAGCACTTGTGAACAAAGACGAGGTGGACGCATGCCTTAATGCCCAGCCCGTACTTGAAGGTGAGTACGATGCCACCGTCGAGCGAGTGCATCAGGTTGCCGTGCTTCACCAGCCGCGCAATCTGATCAAAGGTAATGACCTCGCCGCCATTCGGGTTGTTGAGTCGGATCGAGACATCGATCTGGAGCCCGGCGTAGCCGTAGCCCTTGAAGATAAAGACGCCGACCGAGACCTCGCCGGTCATCGACGCGGTAAAGATGAGCGGGTAGTGCGGCGAGCCGTCTGGGTTGGTGTACGTCACGCCCAAGCCGCGGAACAAGTACGACGGGTTCTTGTAGTGGATCGACTCGTAGACCGCATCGTAAGTGAGAGAGACCTCACCGACCGAGACTGTGAGCGCAGCCTTAAAGTCTAGCGAGAGCACAACGTGCGGGAACGGCCAGATCGGGATGGGGAAGTGCATACCAAGCGCGAGCGTGGCGTCCGGAATGGTGACACCCACAATGGCAAAGTTGGTTCCCATCATCATGTCGAGCAGCTTCTCGACAGGGTTGTGCAGGATGTTGTACTCGATGCCAAACGAGCCCGAGGTGGTCACGCCCGAAACAAACGAGGCAATCTCCTTCTCGTGAGCTTGCGCAACTGCCGAGTTGTACAGGATCTGCTGGGTCTTGGGCGGGAGGTAGCCGTCAGGAACAAGAACCGGCTTGTGCAGCGCGAGCTCGAACGAGCCGAGTAGTTTGCTCACGCCGCAGCCCTCGACGCCGAGCGACGAGAGCTCGTCGGCGACGGCGACAACGTTCATAATCCGGCCGTAAACGCGAATGGCGGTGACGAGCTGGTCGATGTTGCAGTCCGAGGTGAGCTCGCAGAAGAAGCGGGCGACGCGAAGGGCGTTAAAGTTGGAGCCAAAGATCTTGGACATGCCCGGAATCGGCTTGAGGAGCACGCCGTTGGGGCCAAAGACCTTGTTGAGCGGGTCGAGGATCTTGGTGACGTGGCCCATCATGGCATCGATGTATTTGACGAGCATGGTGCCGAGGCACATCTCGACGTCGTTGAGCGCGAGCTTGGTCGGCGTGGTCGACGTCTGCCCGGCCTTGATGTCAAACTCGTACCCAGCCTTGAACGAGGCCTCGTAGTGGATGAACGCGGTGAGCGCCTCCTGCGGCGTGGTGTGGGCGAGATCGGCAATGAGCGGACCGGCACCCATGAGGCCTTTGCCGCCGAGCTGGGCCGAGATGTCGATGTCGATGTCGGCCTTGGGGAGGAGCGTCAACGCGAGCGTGCCCTTGAGGTAGGTGTCTGCCGGCGTGGTGATGAGCTCAAAGCCAAGCGGGCCGAGCCCACCGACCAGCTGACAACCGGACGGCATGTCGAGGTCAACGGTCGACGAGAAGGCCGGCTCGACCGGGAGCGTGACCGAGACGCCGTGGACCGCCGAGTAGACGAGCGCAATAGAAAAGGTCCAGTCGGCCTCTAGCTGGGCGTTGCATTGGATGTCGAGGTCGAGCAGGCCATGCGCGCCCCAGTCTGAGTTAACCGAGAACAGCGGACGGAGTGCCGAGTTGCCAAACTCGATCGACCAGGTGTAGCTGCGAGCCTGAGCATCGTGGGCGACGGTGACCGGCTGCGCCAGGTGTGGAAGGTGCGCGTTGAGCGCGCCGGTCACAATCTCGACCACAATCTCGTCGACAGTTGTCGAGACCGGAATGCCCGCCAGCTTGTCGACGAGGTCGACCGAGATCTGGTGGATGATCTGCGAGGCAACGGCCGGTCCGGTGATGGCGGAGAGTTCGCCGTCAAAGAGGGTAGCGAGCTTCTTGTCAATGAACGCGATGGCCTTGGAGCCGAGGATCGAGTCCGGACCAAACATTTGTGCCCGCAACTTGGCAAGGTCGGTCGAGAAGGAAGAGAAAAAGGTGCCTGGATGCGAAAAGAACTCGGCCATCCACGACTTTGAGAGGACGGCATCGAGGTTGGCAACAAAGTCGGCGCACTTTGCGTCCGAGGCGGTGGCGTCGGACGGGTGGGCAAGGGACGGGACGACGACGGAGACCTCGCACTGGGCCGAGTCCACAAACGGAAAGGTGATGGCGGCGTCAAAGCCGGCCGAGCCGGCGAGGGTGACACCTGTGCCCGGCGAGGCAGTGAGGGTGGCGGGCGCGGTGTCGCCGACGTCGGCCGACGCCGCGAGCCACGCGCGCGACTTTGCGACCTCGGCGGTGTAGGGACCAAACTGGAGCTTGAGCTGGCCGTCATCGTGAGCACCGGCAGATGCGCGAAGGTAGGTGGCGTCCTTGTCGAGCGCGACTTGGACCGGACCCGAAGCCGGGAAGGTGACGTCGAGCACAAGGGCGACGTCGACCTGGGCCGATACCGCGAGATTGTTTGAGGCTGAGACGCCGGCCGAGAGCGAGCCACCGCCATGGAAGAGCTGGGTGTCCATCACCGAGGCATCGGTGTACGAGGTGGTGTAGGGGGTAAAGGTCAGCGGGAGCTTGAAGGTCTCGTGGGCGAGCGAGACGTTGGAACAGACCGGGCCGACCTGGTAGTGGAAGGCGTCGGCCATGAACGAGCAGAAGAGTGCAAGCGACATCGGCTCGCCGCGGTCGCACACTGCGGCCACCGTGTCGTCGTACATGGGCAGCAGCTTGGCGAGGACCCGGCCAAATGGCGAGTGTTTCATCGGGGCGAGCGGGGTCTGGACGCTGGGGTCGGCCTTGACGTCGGCCAGAAAGTCGACGCCGGCCTTGAGCAGCTCGCACATCGAGGCGTCCTTTGAGGCGAGGCCCTTGAGCATGCGGATGAGCGCATCGTCACCGGACCATGTGGCGGTGGCCTGGGCCTGCAGGTTGTCCTTGAACTGCTGAAGTGCAGCAGGTGAAGCGAGGTCTGCGGCGTCGGCGACTGAGAGGTCGACAGTGAGGTGCGGGAGGCCCGGAATCGGGGCAGCAAAGGCATCGACGGCCATGCCGCCGACGACGGCCGAAGCGGCGACGGCGGCGTCGAGGGTAAAGGCAGAGAAGAGTGAGGTCGGCTGAGAGCCAGCCTTGAGAGCGGTGGCGGTTGTGAGCCAGGGAGAGGCAGCGTGGAGGATGAGCGAGGCCGAGGCCTTGGCGGCGACGGATCCGATCTCGACACCGAGCGGCCCGATGGCGCCGTCGAGTTTGCCAGCATGAAAGGAAGCGGCTGTGGCGAGGCCGACTTCGAGGTCACGGACGACAGCGCGCGACTGGCTCATGACCGGCGCGGCATACTCGAGGCCCGGCAGAGTGATGTTTGAGATGGAGAGCGAGTACGGAATGACCAGGTGCTGGGTCTCTGGGTTAATGGCAGCGTTGATGGCGATCTCGACTTGCGGCGAGCCCGGGTTGAGGATGGGGTCTGGCGCGATGAGGCGGACAGCGAGGACGCCGGCGAGCTCGACGTCGGTGATCTGCGGGAGGAGCGAGGAGAGCAGCTGGTCCGCGACAAGGGCGCCTGGGCGAAAGGCCAGGTACTGGGCGACCTCGACCGACTTGGGCGGGACGCCGGGCTCGGCGGAGCGGACGACAAATTTGGCAGAGAGCTGAAAGCCGCCACCAGAGAGCGGGACGCGGGCGGTGGGATAGTCGTCTGTGGCGGAGCCGTTGACAAAGGCGGTCTCGATGGTAATGTTGGCCGACGAGCGGAGCGGAGCGCAGCCGTGGACAATGGCGACGTCGGTGTCGATCCAGGCAGCGACTCGGGCGGCGGCAGTGGAGGCCGGCAGATCAAGCGAGATGGGCCCGGCGGAGAGGCTCGACGGAGCGGATGAGGTGGCGCCGTCAAGAGAGTGGCATTGAAGCCGAGTTTGAAGGAGGTGCCGGGCAGCTGGCCGGAAAAGTAGGCGGCCCAGCCCGGGACGTTCGGCACGCACGACGGAAGCGACGTGGCCTCGACACTCAGCGGGAGCGGGAGATGGACCAGGGCGTTGATACCGGTCTGCGCGAGGCGGACAACAAGATCGTCCCAGCGGGCAAAGACGGGGACTGACGACTCCGACCAGGTGGTGGCGTACGGGGTGAGAAAGTGGGCGTCCGAGGAAGCGGTCATGGTGAAGGCGCGGACGATGCCCGGTACTGCTGGCTTGAGCGAGAGGACGGTGCAAGTTGCCGAGTCCTGGGAAAAGGCTGGCGAGGTACTCGCGGCCACAAAGGATCCCATAGAGAGGCCGTCGTGGCCGGGGAGAGCGCAGCCAGCGAGGCCGGCAGCGACGGCAGCCTCGACGGCAGTCGGCAAGTTTGCGGGCGTGAGCTGCGTGAGCTTGAACGAGCAGGAAGCCGGAGCGAGGCCGTTGACCGACATCGAGTAGGACTCGGTGTGTGACGCCAGCGGAGCGTCGAGACAGAGCGTGGCGTACATGAGCTGCGGCTCGAGCTCGCCGGCCCAGGTGAGCTTGGCAAAGATGGGCTCAAGTGCGGCGGCGACGGCGTCGATGGCGTTGATGCCCTTGCCGAGGATGGGGAGCGGGAAAGCGGCAGAGCCCGAGGCAAAGGTTGCGACCGAGGAGATGGTGTTGGCGAGGGCAGCGAGGACGTCCTTGGGCGGGGTGGCCGAGAGGGTAGGCAGGAGCGAGGCGACCGGGCCGGAGGCGTGGAGCGGCGAAGCTGCGCCAGCGGCCGTCGGCGGGTAGTGCGGGTAGCCGACAACGTCGACGGCGGCGTCGGAGGAGAGCGGGACGGAGCCGTTGACGAGGGCGGCGTTGTCCATGGCGGTGAGGTCCGAGTCGACAATGGAGACCCGCATAGAGAGCATGGAGCCGGCGAGACCGTCGGTGACGGCATCGGCAGTGACAACAAGGCTCGACGCCGCCGGGAGGTCGAGGTCAAGCGTTAGCGAGCCGCTCGTGACGGCAGCGGCAGACATGTGCCAGGATGCCGGGGCGGCAAAGCTGTGGGCCGAGCCGGAACCAGCGACGGTGAGCTTGACCGCAGTCGGAGCCGCGGACGAGAATGCAAGGGTGTGGGTGGCGAGGAGATGGACCGGGATCCGCGAGAGGTCAAGAACGGAGGCCCACGGCGCGTCGGGTGTCTCGACAACCGTGACAAAGACAGAGGTCTGAACGAGGTCGAGCGACAGGACCGGGGCGGCGGGCGAGCCGGTGAGGCCGAGCGCGATGTTGGCGTGGAGGGCGACAGGGGAGTTGGCGATTGCGGCGTCAAGGAGGGCATCAAGGCTGCGGGCCGAGATGGAGGGGAGGGCGGAGCTTGTAAGGGTGTCGTGGAGGTCGCCGAGGAGATCAACGATCGGCAGGCCGAGGACGGTGGGAGTCGGGCCGAGACGGCCGCTGGCCCAAGCATAGGCATCCGAGGTAGTGAGAGTAGCAGTGGCGGCAGCGAGAGCGGTAGCGAGCTGAGCAGCTCCGGCCTGGTCGACGACGAGCTTGTCGGTGACCGGGGCAGCGGGCTTGGCGAGCGAGGCCCACGAAAAGCCGGCTGATGCCTCGGCCTCGGAGGTGAGCTCCAGCGTGCGGACTGCGACAGCGCCGGCAGGCGAACAGGTAATGTTGGCAGATGTATAGAGGGCAGAGCCGGACGGAGGGGCACTCAGATTGGAGAGCGCGGCACGGACGAGTGAGGAGTGGGCGGGTGGAGCGAGCCAAGCGAGCGTATCGAGGTCGAGGGTGCCGGCGAGGTAGGCTGCTGCTGCTGGGGCGTCGACCGACGATGTGTGCGGGTCAAAGACCGGCGGGTCGTAGTCGGCCAGAGCGGGGAATGCCGACTTGAGCGAGGTAGCCGCAGCAGTAAGAGCGTCGTCGATAGCGGCGGCACAGGTTGGCGTGAGCGGGACGGCCAAGGCGGGTGCGCCAAAGGCGAGAGCAAGGGCAGGCGCATCGTCGGTTGTGTAGGGCGGACGGAACTCGAGGTTACAGAGCTCGATACCATGAGCGAGACACGTGGCCGGGCCATGTGTGGCAGCGAACCAGGCCCAGAAGCCGTTGCGGGAGGGAACGAGTGTCGAGCCGAGGTAGTTGTCGATGAGGGCGGGGATGTTGTCGACGGGAATGAGCGAGCTGTTGACAAAGAGAGCGAGCGCAGGCGGAGCGTCGACGGCGGCAGCGAGACGGGCAAGCGTCAGAGCCAGAGCAGGGCTTGACGGGAGGGCGCGTCCGGGATGGCGACGCCACCGATGGCGGCGGCGGAAAAGAGCGGCGTGAGCGGAGCGATGCGGGTCGGAGTGGCAGAGAGGGTCGACGAGGCGGAGCCCGAGAAAGTGAGGACGAGACCGCGGCCGAGAGCCGGAAGGATGTCGGGCTGAGCGGCGATGGCGGGCAGTGGCCAGGACGACGAAGCGGGGTCGAGCGCGGCGGCGGCGGCGAGGACCAGAGCGGCCGAGTCTGCGACAGCCAGTGTGGTGGCAGAGACCGAGACCGGGACGACAGCGGCAGGCGAGAGCGCAAAGGCGAGCTGCAGGCGCGAGGCGTGGCGGAGCGGGTCGGTGGGAGCAAGCCCGGTCTTTGCGAAAGCGGCAGCGAGGGTGGATGCCAGAATGGAGGGGCATGTCTCGGCCGTGCATGAGGCGGAGGCCGAGTAAAGAGTCACGCCGAAGACCGACTCGTCAGGAGAGCGGACGAGGACGCCCGAAGCGAGTGGTGTAAGCGGAGACAAGCCATTGGTAACAAAGCCACCGCGGAGCGAGGCGAAGAGCGTCGTCGGGGTATCGGTCCACGACGGGATAGTGTCTGACGGCAGTGCGGCGAGGGCGGCGGCGACGTTTGCGGCAAGGGCGGGCGGCTGGCTAGCCAAGTTGGCCGCGGTGTGGATAAGCACAACCAGCGGCTGGCCGTCAGCGGCATGCGGATCGAGCACAAGCATGTTGCCGGTTGCTGACGACGAGCCAGCGAGGCTGCAGGAGCCTGCGTACGGCAGGGCCAGTTCGGGCAGCAGAGCCAGCGGAACATGCGCCAGCGGGAGGGAGAGCTTCAGCTCCAGCTTGCCTTGCACACTCACCTCTGCGCTAGGAGCAGACGCAAGAGCGGCATCGGCAGTGATGTCAAGAGAATGAGTGATGTCAAGCGAGGAGAGAATCGTGCCCTGAGTGGAAGATGCAGTGACTTCAGCATCAAGTGACGCCGAGTAGGTGACCTTGATCAGAGTCAGGTGATCTAGCCCCGGGATGGTTGAGGGAACCGGAACCGAGACGATAGTTGCAGGAACGACGACATGAATTGCCGAGTCAGAAGACGATGGCGAGCATGTTGATGAGCTCGAGATAGCTTCAAGTAGCCGAGTTGAGAACAGCGCACCAACTGCCGAGGACTTTGGAAGGAGATCCGGGTACGGTGGGTTGTCTGAGCAGAAGGGAGGGGGAATGGAGTGAGTGGGAAAGGGGGGGGGGGGGATAGAGCGGGGAGGAGAAAATGGCATGAGAAGAAGGACGTACTCATGACAACACCCATCATTGCCTTGCAAAGGTCGGACATGTCGGTGACCTTGACCGACGCGGAGGCCGAGGTGACCGTAGTGGCCGAGGTCAGTGTCACACACACAAGCAAGAGTGTGAGCATTGTGTACCACCTCATATTGTTAGAGGGTTGGAGTAGAGGTGGTGGTTGTGGTGGTTGCGATGGTGGTAGATGGAGAGGTGTGTTGGTCTTGTACGGGTTGTGTGTGTGTGTGTGTGTGTGTGTCTCGTGGGATCAGCAGCGGCTGTTACAGTTTGGAGCAGTGCACGTCACGTGCAGCTTGACCCACCGACGTAGACGCGCGTGATTTGGCAGATAAGGTGAGAGTGAGGGCGAAGGGGATGATGGTATGGGAACGATAGTGGGTGGATAGCAGAGGAAGGAGGGTGTAGGGTTGGGTATGGGGGCTAGGGATTGGTGGTGTGTGGGGTTGTTGCGCTGTGATCGCTACCGCTACGGTGGTGGTGGTTGTGACGGTGGTGCCGTGACAGACGTGGGTGATGTGATCGACCTGGTGCGCGTTGGATGAGCGCGCGTGATATGGCAGTTAGAGAGGGTGATTGGGAAGAATACGGAAAAAAAGGGTTGATGTGGGAGATGGACATGCGGTTGTGACGGATGTCGTAGTGTGTGGTTTGTGGGAAAGGCTCAGCCGGCTGTGACGGACGGCGCGCGCGCTGCCTTGACTGACAGACGACATGCGGGGGCGATATCGGATGCGAAGGTGCTACGTAATGTGGCTATGGTCGATATTCAGATCGGTTGGAGTTGTCAACTGTGGTCTAAGGGCTGTGGACTGTCTGCCCTTGTGATGGGAGCTGCTGCGGTCTCCCGTGTGATGCACAGATGACATTGGCTAGACAGACCAGTCCGGCACTCGATCGATAGGCGATACGACTACCCATCTCAAAACACATTGATCTTGTACGACGATGTGCATCTGGGCGGAAGCAGAGACCGAGAGCTAGCCAGGCAACCAGCCATCCAACCAGCCAGCCAACCAGCCAACCAGCCCGCCCGCCCGCCCGCCCGCCCGCCCGCCAGCCCGCCAGCCCGCCAGCCCGCCAGCCCGCCAGCCCGCCAGCACGCCATCTCCAGCACCGACACTCGTCGCCGAATCGCCCGCATGTCATCGCTGACGCCCGCTGCGGCGAGCCGGCGTATTGCCGAGCTACAGTTCCTCTTGGAACGAGAGAGGGCCGCACACGTACGTACACCACATACACGCCCACACTTTCAACTGTGTGTGTGTGTGGAAGGGGGGAGGGGGGAGGGCTGGCGTGGTGGTGGACGAGGGGAGGCGATGGCGGGCAAGTTCGGCGCCAAAAGGGGAAAGGCTTTGAGAGGTGGTGTGAGCGTGGGTGTAGTGAATGACAGAGACTGATATGGTTTGTTTGTCGGTGTGTGTATGTATGTGTATGTGTGTGTATGTATATGTCTAGGCGGCGGAGTTGCGCAAGTATGAAGACTCGGTCTATGGTTATAGGTCGGTGGAGAGCTCCATGTATCACCTGGTTCACACACTTGCTTCGGAGCAGCAATCACTTCTGGAGCTCCTGGCTCATACTGTCGAGCTGCCAGAGGCTCCGGCAGAGCTCAAGATGGATATGGAGCTGGTGTCAAGGCAGCACGCTCGGGTTATGGAAGAGTTGGCAAGGCTCTCGCCGGAACAGCTCTCGTCGGCCGCAGCAGAGACCTCTGTGGCTCTCGAGACCCGAGCGGTCGTCAGCCCGCTCCGCAACTTGTTTGACCTCCATCCGGAGCTCAAAGCCCACGCACCAGACCACGGCATCGGCCTGGCGACACGTGACCCGCATGCTGTGGTGCGGCTCTCGGCAACAGTGCTCGAGACGCTGAACGGAGAGAACGCCAAGCTCACCACCTCGCTCGCCGACGCGCTGCGCGAAGTTGAGGAGCTCGAGGCGAAGCTCGAGGCGTCGAGTGCTGCGGCAACTGCTGCTGTGGCCTTGCCCGAGGAGGCAGCAGCTAGTACAGCTGCCAGTACGGCGGCTGCGGTCGCGGCCAACACGGCTCAGTTTGAGGCACGGCAGGCGGCGCTGGAGGCCGAGAACGCCCGCTTGCTTGAACAGATCAAGAGCTTGGAGGATGGTATTTTGTTCCTTGACGACAAGGTGACCCGGCTGGAGAGCGAGGCCGCTGCTGCGGCGGTCACGCCCGCGGTCACGCCCGCGGCTAGCGCCGCGCCCGCCCAGTACGGTGCGCGGCCGGCATCTCCAGCGCCGTCGCCAGCGTTATCGTCGTCGTCGTCATCGTTGTCGTCATTGTCGTCGCCCCCGCCGTCGCACGTGCGTTCACCACAGGCGCCACCGCCGCCCGTGGCGGCAGTGCCGACGACCACTCCGCACCTTACCGAGTACATCGCGACGGTGGCAGACCTGCGGCGGGCGCTGGCAGACCAGCTGGCGTCGGTTCCCGAGGTCAAGGTTGCGGTGCCGACCCGGTCCCCGATACGGGCCGTCGGCTTTGATGTAAGCGCTGTCAAGGACGTACAGCACCAGAACCATGTCGTGGCCGACAAGCTGATGGCCACGGTCACCGACCTCTCGCAGCGACACGTCGCACTGAGCGACGACTACGAGACGCTGAGCGCCGAGCACGAGGCGCTGGCCAGGCTCCACGACGAGGTTGTTCAGCAGCGCGACGTGTTTACCCGGCGTGCGCACAAGTATCGCGACCGTGCGCGGGAGCTTGAAGCGACGCTTGCGGCCGGCGAGAGTCATGCCGATGCCGACTTGCGCGCTGAGCGCGACGCCGCGGTGGCAGCTGCGGACGCCGCCGCGGCTACGGCAGACTCGCTCCTGGCGACTTCGCACGAAATCCTCGCCGACCGCAACACGTTCTTTGAGCGGGCAAACCGCCATCGGGCCCAGGCCAAGGAGCTCGAGTCGCGGCTGGCAGCGGCCGAGGCGACGGCGGCTACCACAAGCGAAGCACTGGCGGAGCGCGCTGCGCAGCTTGAAGCCGCGCGTGCTGAACTGGGCCGACTGGTGGCGAAGGTGCCTGGCGAAGCGAGGCAGCGCGCCCGCAGCCCGCCAGGCTTCACGCCCAACGTCCACCGCTACGCCGACGCGCTCGCCGAGGCTGCTGTGCTCGCCAACGAGTTGGCCTCGTCCAACGACGCGCTGGCGGCGCGGCTCGCCGCCGCTCGCGACGAGCTCTGGAACTCGCGGGCGCAGGCGGCGCTGGCGGCGTCGGCGAGTGAGGCGTCGGCGCGACAGGCGAGCGAGGCGGCCGAAACACTGGCAGCTCAGGCCGCCACCATTGCTCGTCTCCAAGCCGAGGTCCAGGGCGCAAGCGAGGCCAATGCCAAACTGACGGCGGCGTCAGCGGCGTCGGCGGCGTCGATCGCTGCAGCGGCCTCGGCCGGCGAGTCGGCCGAGCTCCGCCGCGAGCTGGAGCGACTGACTGCCGAGCTTGAGGCGACGAACGCTGGAACTCGCGCCCTCCGCGACCGGGTTGTTGCCGAGGATGTGCGGCTCGAGCGGGTGTCTGCGCTCTCGGCGGGTCTGGCCTCGTTTGTTGCCGAGACACAGGCGCTGCTTGAGCGCCGCGACGAGCAGCTTACAGAGGCCAAGCATGCACTGGACGCGACGCTGGCACGGCTGCGTGCGCTGGAGGCTAAGGCGGACGACGCGGCACAGAGAACAGCGAGTGAGGAGACGCCGGCGTCGCTGCTCCGACTCAGCGATTTGCTGCAGGCCAAGGTAGCGTCTCTTGTGGGCTCACAGGCGTCGTCGCTGCGGCTGTATCTCGCACGCGTCCACGCGCTCAAGGCCCAGCTGGGCGACGCGCTCGCGGTGTCCGAGGCAAACCGGGCAGCCGAGGCGGCCGGCTATGCGGCGTCGGTGTCTGCGCTGCAGGCGGCGGCGAGCGAGCTGGAGGATCAGGTGGTCGAGCTTCAGGACGCAGTGCGGGACAAGGACGCGGACGCGGAGACACTGGAAGCGCGGGTTGCGCAGTTGGAGCGGGCGCTATCGGCGACCGACTCGCGGCTGCTGCTGCGGTCCGCCGCAACGATGCGCAAGCTGCGAACAACCTACGCACACTTGGCCGACTACGTTGGGACGGTCGATACCGTTCGCGGCGCAGTGACGGCGCTCGTTGAGCGCATGGCTGTTCTGGAGAACCAGGCGCGTGCGGCGACGTCGTCGGCGGAGGCCTCACGTGACGAGGTGGCTGGCCTGCAATCGCAGGTGGCGACGCTTCTTGCCGAGCTGAGCGCACTGGAGGCCGAGACAGCTGCCGCCGCGGCCAACGTTAGCGGCGACGAGCTTGGAGCGTACTCGTCAGACGACGACTCGTTTGTTTCGGCGACCGATGTGCTAACCGAGGGTGAGGCATTTGCTGCGAGCGACACATTGTACTCGCCGCGGAGTGAAGCGGCGACGCTGCGGAGCCAGGTGTCGTCGCTGGAGGCACAGCTGGCAGCACAGAGCTCTGCCAGCCAGCATCGGATTCGCGAGTTTGCGGGCCGGCTCCGGGCGCTACAAGCCGGACTTGTTGCGTTTGTGCAGAGCGCGCCGCACCATGTCGCGGTGACGACCAAGGCGGCTGATGCCGAGACTGAGCCTGCGAACCCTACGCGTGAGGTTGTGTCGCAGTACGCGGCGACAGTTCGCGAGCTGGCGACAGAGCTCGATTCGTTCTTGTCAGACGTGGCGGCGCAGGAGGACGAACTGCGGGCCGAGCGCGAGCGAAGCGCGCTGATGGACGACGAGCGCAAGGCAGCACTGGCGCTAGCACGATCGGCACAGTCGTCGTTGGCTGAAGCTACGGCGTCGCTGGCCGCAGCTGCGCCGGCAGCCGCCAACGTTCCGCCCAACATGCGGAGGTCGCTGGTCGAGTACGCTGCCGGTGTCCAACGCGCGTTGGTGGAATTGACTGATCTAGCCGAGACGCGGCCGGTGAGGCTGGTCGAGGTTCAGCATGTGCTGGCCGAGGCCGAGGCGGACCTTGCAGCGGCGCCGAAGAGCGGCATCGAGGTGGAGGAGTACGTGGCGCAGGTGGGCCAGCTCCGGACCGAGCTGCGGTCGCTGGTGGCCGCCTCGAACTCGGCACAGACCGCGCTCCGGACTGCTCTGGCGCAGTCGGAGCAGGGTCTGGTGCACGCGGTCGATTGCCTCCGTGCGCGAGCGCGGCAGGTGGCTGAGCTGCAGCGGCAGGTGACAGAGCTGCTCGATGCACCCCACCCGGAAGCAGCCAAGGCGCATTCGGAGATGCGGTCGCTGGTGGCGGAGCACGCTCAGGCACTAGAGACTCTTGCGGCGACGAGCACGCTGAGCAGCGCGAGTGATTTGGACGAGTTTAAGGCGCGTGCAGCAGCGGCGGAGCAGGCGGCACAGGAGATGGCTGCGCGGGCGGCCGAGTCTGACGAGCTCGCGAGCGACGCGCGGGCCAAGCTGGCCCAGTACGTGGCGCTCGCCGCTGAAGCCGGAGCGACGGCGCAGGCTGTAGTGACCGAGTCGGAGGTGCTGCGCGCTGGCGGGCGCGACGAGGCGCAGCGTGCCCAGCGTGTCACAGATCATGCGCAGGCGGTGGCCCGGGCACGCGGCGAGCTGACCGAGCTGGTGGCGGCATCGGACCGCAACGAAGCGCGGCTGGCAGCAGCTGCGTCGGAGGCGCAGGCGCAGAGCCGGGCGGCACGGGAAGCACTGGCGCGGCATGCTGGAACCGTCGGCTCGCTGGCAGCACTGGCGGCTAGAGTGGTGGGCGAGGCCGGTGCTAACTCGACGACCTCGATTCGGTCGTACCTGGCGTCGCTGGACGCCATTACTGCCGAGCTTGACGATGTACTTGCAGGACCGCCCCAGGCGGGTGCTGAGTCGGATCCGAACGCGGACGCCTCCCAATGGGTCCACCATAACCTCGCAACGTACCTGGGCTCTGTAGCGCAGCTCCGGACCGTGTTGGAAGAGTTTGTGGTGAGTGCACCCGCTGCGGCGAAGAGCCCGGCGTACCGACAGGAGCTGCAGGCGTATTCGGCGCGGGTGGGAGAGCTCTCGCAGGAGCTCTCGTCACTGCTCATGGTGACCGAGGCTGGGGCGGAGCAGATAAGCGGATACCGTGATCGACTCATGGCGATCACCTCCGAGCTTGTCGAGGTGCTCGCGAGCCACCCGACTCGACCGGCTTTGCGGACCGAGTACGCCGCGCAGGTCGAGTCGGCACTGGCGTCGAGCCTTGCGCTTGTCGAAGATGTCGAAGATCTGGAGGTCAAATACGCACAGGCGCTGCGCGAGCTGGAAGCCGAGCGACATGACCGGATGACCGAGCGATCGCTGATGGAAGCAGAGCTTGCGGCAGCTCGGATGGAGCACGACTCGTTGGAGATGGCACTTGCGCGCGTCCCCGAGCACAACAACACAGCACAGGCAGCGGCGTACGCGGCTGCTCTTGGCCGACGTGTCGCTGCGCTGCACACCGCAGTGTCATCGGCAAACGCCATGGTCGACGCTGCCGTCGAGCGCGAGTCGGAGCTGGAGGCCGAGGTTGCACGGTTGCGGGCAGTGCTGGAGGCTGGGGCCGACAAGACCGACGCAGGAGTGCTGCAGCAGCGCGCGGAGCAGGCAGCAGCTGCAGGTGCGGCGGCCAGGGTGCTGGTGGCTGATATCGCGTCGTCACAGGTTGTTGCTGCAGCGAGCCAGCAAGAGTTGGAGCGCGCAGCTGTCGCGGTGGAGGCTGCGCGTGACATGCTTATTGCTCGAGACGCCGAAGTTCAGGCGCTTCTTGAGGCACTGCCCGCGCAAGCGAACGCAGACAGTGTGGAACGCCTGGCGGAGCGGGCGGCAGCGGCCGAGGCAGCCGCGCGCGCGGCGCGCGAGCTTGTCGCGGAGATGACCGAGATGGAGACGTCGTCACTGGCTGAGATGGAGCAGCGTGTTGTCGCTGCCGAAGCTGCTGCGAACGCCGCACGGGATGTTGTGTTGCTCCGCGATGCCGAGGTCGCGGCTCTGCAGCAGGAGCTGGCAACGCGTCCTGAGAGCCTGACTGCGCTGAAGGAGCGTGTTGTGGCGGCTGAAGCGGCTGCGGCTGCGGCTCGCGAGCTGGTGGTGGACGTGGGCCAACTCGAGGCATCGTCACGGGCTGTTAGTCCGGCGCCTGAGAGCCTGTCTGCGCTGAAGGAGCGCGTTGTGGCGGCTGAGATGGCGGCTGTGGCGGCTCGAGAGCTGGTGGCGGACGTGGGCCAACTCGAGGCATCGTCACGGACAGCGAGTCCGGCGCCTGAGAGCCTGGTTGCGCTGAAGGAGCGTGTTGTGGCGGCTGAAGCGGCTGCGGCTGCTGCTCGCGAGCTGGTGGCGGACGTGGGTCAACTCGAGGCATCGTCACGGGCTGTTAGTCCGGCATCCGAGAGCCTGGTTGCGCTGAAGGAGCGCGTGGCGGTGGCCGAAGCGGCTGCAGCAGCGGCTCGTGAGCTGGTGGCAGACATGAGTGAGATGGAAACGTCTTCGCGGGCTGTCAGTCCGGCATCCGAAAGCCTGGTTGCGCTGAAGGAGCGTGTTGTGGCGGCTGAAGCGGCTGCGGCTGCTGCTCGCGAGCTGGTGGCGGACGTGGGCCAACTCGAGGCATCGTCACGGGCTGTTAGTCCGGCATCCGAGAGCCTGGCTGCGCTGAAGGAGCGTGTTGTGGCGGCTGAAGCGGCTGCGGCTGCTGCTCGCGAGCTGGTGGCGGACGTGGGCCAACTCGAGGCATCGGCGCGGACAGCGAGTCCACCGCTTGAGAGCCTGGTTGCGCTGAAGGAACGCGTGGCTGCGGCTGAGATGGCGGCTGTGGCGGCTAGGGAGCTGGTGGCAGACGTTGAGGCGAAGGGCGCCGCGTCGCAGGCTGCACTGATCCAGCGCGTCGCCACGGCTGAGGCTGTCGCGACAGCCGCTCGAGATTTGGTCTCCGACGTCGCTGCCATGGAGGCGCGGTCGTCAGCACCACCGCCGGCACATGCTATGTCCATTTCCACCATCACTGCTCTGAGCGAGCGTGTTGCTGCTGTCGAGGCAGCGGCCTCAGCAGCTCGTGAGCTGGTGGCCAATGTGGCCGAGCTGGAGTCTACGCCACAAGAGACTAAGCTGTCCGCAGCGGCGATTGATGCGCTGCGTGAGCGTGTGACGTTGGCCGAGTCGGCAGCCGCCGCCGCCCGCGAGCTGGTGGCCAACGTGGTAGAGATGGAGAGCCGTGTCCGCGATGAGCTCATGGAGCGAGTCGAAGCTGCCGAGACCTCGGCAGCCGAGGCACGCGCCATGGTCGCCGAGCGCGACGTCGAGGTTGTTGCACTCCGGGAGGCTCTGGCTGCTGCGCCTGCCACTGTGGCCTCGAAACAGAATGCACACCATTCCGAGGCTACCAAGGCTGCAGCAGCAGCTGCGCGTGAACTTGTTGTCGCAGTGCTAGCATCTGAGGCCGCATCGCGGAAGCTACTGACCCAGCGAGCCGAAGCTGCCGAGGCTGCTGCTGCCGCGGCACACGAGCTCGTTGAGGACCTGGCGGCAATTGAGAGCCAGCATATTGCAGCTGTTGTGGATGTGGCGGAAGAAGCTGCAACCCCAGCTGCGCAGGCGCGCGCGTCGCTAGAGGCTCGTGCGGCCGCAGCCGCAGCCGCAGCAGCCGCAGCCCGCGAGCTTGTCGCCGAATTGGATGCAGCCGAAGCCAGTCGTGCTGCCACAGGCGAGTGCGAGACCGCTAGCGCCGAGAAGGCCGAGCTTGTGTCTCGGACGGTGGTGGAGAAGCGGGTCGCAACTGCCGAGGCAGCGGCTGCTGCTGCGCGGGGCCTTGTCGCCGACGCCGAGGCGCTTCTCGTACAGACAGAGACTGCGAGCCACGCACACGACTCTAGCGCTGCTGAAGCGCTGGCGACCGCAAAGGCCCTCATTGCCGATGTGGACGCTATGGAGGCATCAGCGACAGCAGACAAGCTGGCTATGGTGGAGCAGATTGAGGCGCTCCGGGAGACCGCCCGCGTGCTCCAGGGAGAAAGTCCGAACTCGTCTAACACAGTTGGTTCGGACGCGTCGCTGGATGCGCGGCACGCGTGTGCTGTTGCGGATGTGGCGCAGGCGCTGACTCGGCTGGCGGAAGCCCGCGACACTTATTCAGCTCGCGCTCCGCGCGAGTACGCGGCACAGGTTGCCGCGGTCCAGGCCGCGGCGGCCGATCTTGTCGATGCGGTTGCCCCGCTCGAACGTGAGAAGGCTGTGCTGGTTACTCAGGGCGCCGAGATGGAGTCCCAGTTTGGGGTGCTGGAGCAGCTGGTCTCAGAGCTGGAGGGCAAAGTCATGATTCGCGACACCAGCGACCGCGAAGAAGGCCTGTCAGAGGCGCGCGCCACACTGGCGAGCCGCATCCAGTCATATTTGGCAGCTGTCCGCGAGGCAGCCAGGCTCGCGCCGGATTTACTCGCCGCACCAGGTCAGCCGACTGGCGTCGATATGGAGCCTACGACGGCTGCCGCGCGTGCACTGGTGGATGCGGTCGCTGCACGCGAGCATGCTCTCGAGCAGCGTGTGGCTGTTCTTTCGACCGAGATGGCGTCCATGCGCACATCGCGCGACCGGTTGACAGCCGAGCTGGCGCGTATGGCGCAGACGACGGCACAGGCTCATCAGCAGCAGGCTGAGTTTGCCGACGTAGTTGATGCGCGTGCGTGTGCACGGTTGGCACAAATCAAGGCCATCGCAGCGGTGGCTGGCGAGCTGACGGCCAACGCCCCACAGCCTCACTCGCTCCGTGCGCTTGAAGCCGAACGTGACGTGCTCAAGGCCTCGTTGGACAACGCGCTCGCGTTGCTCGAGGAACACAACGTGACGCGCACTGCGCTGGAGGCGCGACTGCGGGATGTCGAAGCCATCTCGGCGTCAGCTGCCAGTGTACTGGCCTCCGTGCCAGTGCGGCCAGCAGCAGCACCCACAGTGTCGCCTGCTGCGAAGACAGCGAGCGCGCCCGACGACCTGGCTGCCATCCGGGCCGAACGCGATGTGCTCAAGGCTTCGCTGGACAACGCTCTGGCGCTGCTGGAGGAGCATAACACAGCACGGGCCATGCTCGAGTCGCGACTGCGCGACGTCGAGGCCATCTCAGCTTCGGCGGCAGAGGTGGTTGGATCTGTGCCGGAGCCCGCGCCGCAGCGCGAAAGCGGTGTGCCCTCCGATCTTGTTGCCGAACGGCTTGTCAAGGTTGCCGCAGCGGTCAAGGCCGCCGAGGAGGTTGTTGCTTCTACTCCACAGCGCGAGCGCGAGCTCGCATCTTTGCGGGCCGAGCGTGACGAGCTGCAAACTGCAGTTGCCCGCGCACAAGACGCACTCCACCAGGCTACTGTTGATGCTGATCATTTGTCGGACGATGGTGTGACGGGAGATGTTGACACCGCCGCGCTCGACGACCTTGTGGTGGACTTGCACGCGGATCTGAACCAACTAGAGGCTGCGCTGGAGAGTCCCACAGGAGGAGATGACGGTCTGCCGGCAGCCAAGCTGGCTGAGTACGCGGCGGCGGTGGCTGTAGCGCGCGAATCGCTAGGCGAGCTTGCGGCGAGTCATCCGCAGCATGTCGACCGCTTGGCTGCCGAGCTGACACGAGAGCGAGACCGGGCCGCCAGCGACCGAGCCGAGGCCCAGCGCGCCGTTGTGCTCGAGAAGCAGGTGGTTGAGATCGAGGCCGAGCGCGAGGCGCTGGAGGCCAAGGTCACCGAGCTGGAGAGTGGGCGGACTGAGCTTGCTCGTGAGGTTGCAGAGCTCCGGTCGATGCGCGACAAGCTTGATTCTCAGATCGCGAGTCTCGAGGCGGAGGTCGGCGAAGAGCGCAGCGCTCTAGCGTCACAAGTTGCGAGCCTCACACTCGAACGTGACGAGCTTGGTGAGCGCGTCGCTGCCCTGGAGGCCGAGCACGCCGACAAGGTGGAAATACTCCAGGCCGAGCATGCAACGCTGGCAGCCAAGGTGTCCAAGGTGGAGAGCGAGCGCGACCGGGTGCAGCGCGAGCTGGATGCAGAAGCGCATGCTAAGTTCCACGAGCAATACGAGGAGGAGCGCGAGACGGTCGAGCTCCTGCATGAGCATGTTCGCCAGCTTCGCGAGCGCGAGCAGGCTGTGAGCGACGAGAAGGCGCAGCTGGAGGATGAGCTCGAGTCTGCAAAGGAGGTTGTTGCGCGGATGCAGGCTGAGTTTGAGCGGCTCGACGCAGCGCTGCCGTCGCGCGTCGAGGAGGCACAGCTGGCCGAGTCGAGTGTGGAGAGTGCGCGTGCCGAGAAGGACCACTACGCGACAATGCTGGCCAAGTCGGAGGCTCAGCGCGAGGTACTTGCGGCGCGGGTCTCGGAGCTTATTGCGTTGCAAGAGGCCAAGGAGGCACTCGAGCACAAGGCGGCCCAAATGGCAGACCAGGTGGAGTACCTGACGGCCACCGCCGAGCGACACGCGCGGGTGGCCAACTCGCTGCGGGATCGCGAGGCGCGGCGAGCCCGCAACGAGCAGGCGCTGCTCTCTGCCAACGCCGAGCTGACGAAGACCAACTCGCAACTGGGGGTGACGGCGTCGACGCTCGAGAAGGAGCTACTTGCGAGTAAGCGCGACCAGATTGCGCTGATGGAAGAGTTCAAGACTCAGTTTGCAGCGCTCGAGGGCGAGTTGCGCGAGGTGGTGGCCGACGTGGCGTCGAGCGCGGGCGAGAGTATGGTTCCTGAGCATGTTATGGAAGCGCATCGGCGCGACGTGACCAAGCTCGAGGCGCAGCTGAACGTGCTCAACCTGCGCAAGGAAGAGCTCGCGTCGCTTGTCGGTGTCGCGCACGAGCATCGGCTTGATCTCGAGATTGAGCTTGATGCGGCACGCACCGCGCTGGACAAATCGACACAACGGGCAGCCGAGACCGAGCTGCAGCTGAAGGAAGAGATGCTGCGGACTCAGCAGCTGACCGGTCTAGTGACTGAGGCTGAAGCGGCGGCGGCGGGTTACTCGCAGGCGGAGCTGGAACTGAGGTCGAAGCTGGCAAGCCTTGAGGCGCACAAGGCTGCGCTTGCGGCCGAGAACGAGTCGCTGCGGGTCCAGCTTGCCGAATCAGGCTCCGGCGGCGAGGCTAGCGAGCATGCCTCGCTGAAGGCAGCGCTGAGCCGGGCCGAGGCCTCAGTGCGGGAGGCACAGACTGCTGTGGCTGAGCGCGACGCGCGGGTGGCGAGCCTGGAGCGGCAGGTGGAGGAGGCTAGCGAGGCGCAGGCCGAGGCTGCAGCGCGCGCTGCGGCTACCAAACTTGAGCTAGTAGAGGCGCAGAGCAGCCGGGCCAAGGCTATAGCGACGATGCAGGCGCAGGACTCGCAGCTGGAGCACATGCGTGCCAAGCATGCCGGTGTGTGCGTGGAGCGGAGCCAGCTGCGGGCCGACGTGGCGGCGCTGCACTCGCAGGTGGCCGAGGCTGAGCTTGCACTCTCGGATGCGGAGGCGCGGTTGTCCGAGGTCGAGGCGGCACATGCGCTGGAGCTCCGAGCGCTCGAAGATGAGATGGGCGTGTTGGCGACCGCGGCCGAGGCGGCGCAAGCGGCGGCTGCCGGCAACGCGGCGCTTGGCAAGCAGGCGCGTATTTCGGAGCTCACCATTTCGCTTGTCGAGGTACAGAGCGCGCTCAACGAGGCGCGGAGTCGCGAGGCTGCCAGCATGCGGCAGGCGGATGCGCTGCGGGCGCGAGTGGCGGCGCTTGAGCGTGAGCGCGAAGCCTTCCGCGCCGAGCTGCTGGAGCGGTCGCAGGACCGGCCGTCTCAGGAGATTGCGACGCTGCGTGCAGCGTACGCTGATGTGCGATCGCAGGTATCGCGGCTGCATGTTCGCAACTCTGAGCTGCAGCACGAGTTGCGGTCGGTCTCGCTCGATGGGCGGAGCCTGGATGCCAGCGACCCGATGTCGGTGTCTGCTGCATCCGGTGAGGCGTCGGCAATGTCAATGTCGGTCTCGATGGGTGGTGACGAGTCGTCGGGCTCGCTGCGAAGGATGGCGAGTCTGGAGGCGCGGCTGGGGGCCGAGACCGCGTCGCGACAGGAGATAGAGGCGGAGCTCCAGGCTGCACTCCGCGAGCGCACACAGGCGCAGGTCCAGGTTGAGCGGCTGGCCGAGCAGCGCGAGCGCGCGATAGCGGATGCGGCAGCAGCAGCAGCGGCGGCGGAAGCCGAGCGTGAGCGTGCCGCACGCGAGCGTACCCGAATGGAGGCATATGTGGAGCAGATCAAGTCGGCGGCAGCAGCGACGCGCGCCGCCAGCGCTGCGTCTCTGGAGAAGCTGCAGGAGCGCTACGATGCAATGGCAGCCGAGATTGGCGCCGCGTCCAAGGTGGCGTCACCTGGCCGAGAGACGTCGCTTCTTGCCCGGATTCGTGACCTCGAAGGCCAGTTGGATGCTGCTGTGGTTGCCCACGAGGCTGCATCGGCGCAGGAAGACTCTGTTCTGGATGTGTTGCAGGAGGGCATCGAGACCGAGTTGGCGCGGTTGGCTGAGGTGGAGGTCGAAGCCGAGGCGGCTGCTGATGCGGAGGTGAGTATTGAGTATGAGAGTGATGACAGCATTGAGTTGCTCACGTCGAAGCTTCGGGCTGTTCGAACCGAGGTTGTGGCTGCCGAGGAGAAGGCGACCGTTGCCGAGGCCGAGGTCGAGAAGCTGCAGGCTGATGTCGTGGCTGTCGAGGAGAAGGCGATCGTTGCCGAGGCCGAGGTCGAGAAGCTGCAGGCCGCAGTTGTGGCTGCCGAGGAGAAGGCGACCGTTGCCGAGGCCGAGGTCGAGAAGCTTCAGGCCGCAGTTGTGGCTGCCGAGGAGAAGGCGACCGTTGCCGAGGCCGAGGTCGAGAAGCTTCAGGCCGCAGTTGTGGATGCCGAGGAGAAGGCGACTGTTGCCGAGGCCGAGGTCGAGAAGCTGCAGGCTGACGTCGTGGCTGCCGAGGAGAAGGCGACCGTTGCCGAGGCCGAGGTCGAGAAGCTGCAGGCCGACGTTGTGGCTGCCGAGGAGAAGGCGACCGTTGCCGAGGCCGAGGTCGAGAAGCTTCAGGCCGCAGTTGTGGCTGCCGAGGAGAAGGCAACTGTTGCCGAGGCCGAGGTCGAGAAGCTGCAGGCCGAGGTCGTGGCTGCCGAGGAGAAGGCTGCTGGCTCTGAGGCTGAGATTGGCAATGCACGCATGCTGCTCGATCTAGCGGAAGAGCAAGCCGCTGCGGACGCAACCAGGGTGGCGCAGCTGGAGGCTCAGGTCGCGCAGCTGGCAGGAGAGGCAGGACCGTCGGCCGAAGAGCATGTAGCCGAAGTCCAGCGTCTGCAGGCCGAGGCAGCCGCCGCCCACGAGAAGGCTGCGGCTCACGAAGGCGATCTCGAGCGGCTCCAGAAGCGGGTCGAGACGATGGAGAGCGTCCTCGCCGCGGCACGGGCCGCGGCAGAACAGGCAGTTGAGCTCAAATCACAGCTGGCCGAGGTCCGCGCAGCCAAGGTTGCGGCCGAACAGCGGGCGGCCGAGCTCACCGGACAGGTACGTGAGCTATCGAAGGAGCAGGCGGCACTGGAGGCGGCAGCGGCGGCGGGCGAGACACAGCAGCGCGAACTTGCAGTGCGAGCAGAGATGCTGGAGACCAAGCTCGCCGCCGCAAACGAGGCGGCTGCGGCCGGCATGGACACCGAGTCGGCCGAGCGGGCCGAGCTGCAGGAGCAGCTTGTGGAGGTTACAAACCAGATGCGCGAGGTTGTGGCATCCAACGAGGCGCTGCAGGCCAAGGTGGTGCAGCTCGAGGCCGCAAACGAGACGCTCGACTCGCGGCTGTTTGACACCACCGCCCGCGCTGATGAGCTCCAGCGAATCAACGAGACCCTCGAGGTTCGCGTCGACGAGCTGCTCTCGGTGGCCTCGTCTGTTGGTGACGATGCACCCCAGGAGAACGCGACGCCCGGAGGGCGGAAGACGGCACGCGGCGTGCACGTCTACGAGTACCTCAACGAGAAGGAGCCTCTGGATGCGAGCCGCGAGCCTGAGTCGCGACCGGTCTTGGCCTCGTTGTCGTCTGCGCTCAACGAGGCTCGCGCGCTGCGGTCATCGCTCGGTGGCGACGCCGCAAGCTCGACTTTGACAAGTGGAGAAGGTGCCGCGGCGCCGTCAACGCCGCAGCAGCTAGCGACCGCCGCGTCGTCGGTCCATACACTGCGAATGGAGCTGGCCGCCGACGAGGGCGCGGCAGCGATGGCGGATTTTGCAGCCGCGCGTACAGAGCTGGGACATCTTCGGCGCGACAACGCGGCGCTGCTTGCACAGGTGGCGGCGCTCCGCGGAGATACCTCCGTCGGAGTGAGTGCCGAGGCCGAGGCCAACGAGGCTGAGCGGCTGGGGCGCTGGAGCGGTGGGAGATGGAGGCCGAGTACATGGCGCTGTGGCGCGGGGCCGGCGAGGCACAGGCCCGGCATCTGGCGATGAGCACCGAGCTCAACGCAGCATTGGACGCCGTCTCACGCGAGCTGGCGGCGGTCTCATACGAGCGCGAGGTGCTGAGCCTCCGGGTAGAGGCGCTGAACAACCAGGTTGAGGCCGAGGCCGCGGCGCGCAAGGATTGGGAGCAGGAGAAGCTCCAGTTTGAGGTGAAAAAGGCCGAACTGATGGAGGATCTCAACATGGAGCGCGAAGAGCTTTACTATCGCATCGACGGCGAGGTCAAGGCACGGCAGAGCCTGGAGGCCAAGGCCACGCTGCTCGAGTCGGAGCTGAGGCTGTCCAAGTCTGCGCTCTCGCGCGAGTCTGCGCTCCAGTTGGCGGATCTGCAGCGGTCGGTGCGGACGCTCGAGGCGTCCGAAGCCGAGGCCAGTGCTGAGCTGGAGCTTGTACGCGCCGAGCTGAAGGAGGTGAGCGCACAACGTGATGCGCTGCGTCTGCAGGTCTCGCGCAGCGGCGACGGGCTTACTATCGAGGTTGCAAGTGGCGGCGGTGCGTGTGAGGCGTGCCCGATGCGAGCCCGCGAGCTGCAGGCGCTGGAAGACCGGCTGGCCGAGCTGGCGATGGAGAACGAGGAGCTGAGCGAGCAGGTGGCAATGCTCAAGCAAGTCAATGACGACCTCACAGAGAGCTTCAATGTACAGCACGCACGGATGAAGGACCGGCTGGCGGAGGAGGTTGTAGTCGTCGCCTCGCTGCGGCGCAAGCTGACCATGCGCGATGCCAAGCTCAAGGCCGAGACCGAAGCGCGGCTGGCAGCGATGGACAAGTACATCGACAACCTGCGGCAAGTCGAGACTGCCAAGGATCGGATGGAGGAGGACTACCGCGCGCGGATCAAGATGCTGGAGGCCGAGGTCGAGGCACGCGCCGCAGGGCGGCCGATCGGCACGGCGACGTAAATGCGTGGGCTGTTGCGAGTGTTTAGCAGCTTGTCGGCCGCGGCGGAGCGGCTGCAAGGGGGGTGATGAGATGACTAGGTCTCGAGCTGTGTGGTTCACTTTGTGGCACGCGACAACGCACCCGAGCGACCGTAAAGGGCAAGGTCTAGTAGGCAAAGCCCGTGGACCGGATGTGCAGCATGTCGTTGAGGATGACGACAGGCCAGCCCAAGGCGGCGGCGCGCGAGCCGGGCGGCGAGGCGGCAATGATGAAGGTCCGGTCAAAGCCACGAAGCATCTGCTTCTCGTCGGCCTCGCGGAAGACGCCGTGGATGGAGACGGTGACCATGGGCTCCGAGGTGGCAGCGACAGGCACAACAGCGGTGTCGACGATGAACGACGACGGGTCGTGGACGGTGGCGCGGATGGAGCGGAGGAACGAGATGATGGCAATGTTTGTCGAGTGCAGACGGGAGGTGAGAACATCGAGCGAGGTCTCACTAAGCGAGCGTGCGGCCTCGTCGTAGTCACGGATGCCCGGCGGGGTGCGGCCGTTGACGTCGGGATGGGTGACCGAGAGCGACATGCAGGCCGACTCGTTGTAGGCAGCAAGGAGCTGGCTTCGGTCGCCGTCGTAGCACTCAAAGTAGCGAGCGATGAAAGCGCCTACGATGTCGGTTGTCGACGGCGAGTCGGCGTACGAGCCTTGTGCTTCGAGCGTCCTGATGTTGACCGGCGCCGAGTCGAGGAGGCCCGGGGGGAGCGCAAAGGTGACGAGCGGTTCAACCGGAATGTTGTCGAGCCACTTGAGGTTGGGGAAGAAGGCTGTGACGTCCGACTGGTAGTCGAAGCGCGAGGCGGTGGCGGCGGCGACAGGATTGTCGGCCAGGTTGAGGACTTCGAGCGCCTCGAGCTTGGAGAGTGATTCGAGATCATTGACGCTGCCGATCTCATTTCCGGCCAGCGAGAGATGCAGCAGCGCCGGCGCGTACTGGTCAAGCTCGCGGAGGTTGGAGAGCCAGGAGATGCGGTTCGAATCGAGCGAGAGCGAGACGGTGCCGTGCGCCCGCTTGGCAATGCCCTGCAGGAGCGCATAGGTAAACGACTTGGCGGCAAACGAGACCGGGACGTCGGCGAGCTGCGGAGCGTCGGACATGCCATTGAGGTTGAGCATGCCGGTCTCTGCATTGAACATGTCGGCAATGTACTTTTCCAGAGCGGCGACCTGGTCCTCGTTCAGCTTCTTCCCGCCGCGAGTGCTGGACTTGCCCCCGCTCTCGGGCTGGCCGCGAGCCGACTTGCGCGACTCTCCCGACGAACCCGCTCCGTCAGCCGGAGTACTTGCGGTCGACGGATCGGGCTGGATGCGAATGGAGAGCTTCTTCCCGCGAAACGGCTTCTCGTGAGCCTTGATGATGCGGTCAGCATCGGCCTTTGAGGCGACGACCAGAAAGGCCCGATGCGGCTGGACATCCGCCTCGACCAAGCGAAACTTGCCGCCACCAAGCTCTGTCAGGGCGTCGACCAGTTCAGCTTCTGTAGCGCCGGCAGTATTATAGACCGAGAGCCTGGCGTAGTTAGCCGACTTGCCTGACCGACCACTTCCACCCGATCGGCCACCACCACGACCAGACCGATTCCCTGATCGACCCGAGCTGCGACTACGATCACCATTACGGTCACTACCACCACCACCACCACCACCACCACCGCCATTACGACCATTAGATCCAGAATCACCACGACCACCATTCCGTCCACCTTGTCGCCGACCGCCACCACGACCGCCACGACCACGACCACCACCGCCACCGTCGCCTCCCTTGCCACCACCACCACCACCACCACCACCACCAGCCTTGCCACCGCCACTACCGTCTGCTCCACCCTTTGACGACTTGCCACCTCCATAGGGAGCAAACCTATCTCCGGCAGCAGTGCCCTTGCGGGCTCGTTCTTTGCCACTCCGTCCCTTGGGCATCCTGGCTGGCGTGAAGTGGGCGTGGGTGTGGGCGTGGCTGAACGAGCTCGTGATGGGCAAGTGCCAGTGGCTGGGTGCTGGCACTGTCAGCCGTTCGGGGGGGGGGGGGGGGGGGGGGGGGTCTTTTAGGGCCTTTGGGGACGATTTGGTTGGTTGGGAGGGAAGAATCGTGGCGGGTATGGAGGAAACAAAGGGGAGATGATGGAGCCAAGGGGGGATGAGTTGGTGCGGGAGGAGGGGAAAGAAGGGGGAGGGGGGGGAGGGGGGGGAGGGGGGGCGGGATTTGATGGGAGAGGAAATTGACTTTTGATCAAAGATCGCATGCTTTTGGAGTCACAGTGATTTCGCCTGCTGACGGCCAAGCTCTCACGCGCGCGCTGCGCAGCGTACATCAGCCTCCATTGCCGCGCCTACGACGAGGCTGCTGAGCTCTTTAACGATCTGGCTACCAAGCTGACTGATTCGCAAGCTGATGCCGCCCTCGTTGCTCTCGAGCAGCAGCGGCGGCATCGACTCGGCACCGTCTCGCTCCACGCCTCGCTCGACCTCTAGCTGGCTTTGAGTGCGGAAGTGGGAAGAGATGGACTGCTTGCTGTTGGTTCTGGAAGGCTAGGCACATTCACCATGAGCAATACATCAGATCCGTTCACGTCATTAACTGTAGCCGTCGCCAACCGCACCATCGCGCCAGTTGTCCTTGATTGGTGATGGCGACTATGTGGATTATGCTTGCGAGGGCGATTTCGTGATTCCTGCGGGCGATAGCGACGTTGTGATTATGGCGGGCAATGGCTCATCGGTAAATGTGCTCAATGGTGGCGTGGTGATGATGATGGAGGTGGCAATGATGTGACTTTGAGGCTCAGCGAGTCGGCTCGGTGGCGAGAGTGCGACTTTGCGGCAAGACATTCCACTGCTTTTGGTCACCCGTCATGTCGTGGTCCGAGCAAGTCAAGGCAGAGCAGCAAGCCGCCGAGGCAGCAGTTGCAGCTGCAGCCACAGCTTCATTCACTCCAACCACTCCTGCTCCTCCACCTTCTTCAGCGAGTGCTGCTGGTGCTTCGGGTATGTGACCATGGAAGGGGTGCACGGCGGGTGGGTGGGTGGGTGGGTGGGGGGGGTGGGGGGGGGGGCGAGTTGGGCGGGAGATCCCATCAGACGACGACCTGCCCCGAGGTTTGGGGGGGGGGGGGGAGGGGGGGACGGAGACAGGGATACTTATTGTATGGGAGGGGTACAGATGGTGGGAATGTTGCTGTGGGGGATGACCCTGAGTTTACTACTTCTGCTGAAAAGATGGAGGCGCTGAAGAAGTGGGGCCTTGGGTATGGCCTTGATAACCGTGAGGCTGAGATTCAAGTTGCCATGGCCGACCCGAACTCGCCGCTCTACACCGATGTTGACTCGTTTGATGACCTTGGTCTGACGGATGCCATTCTTCAGGGCATTCGGGTCAACATGAAGTTCAGCAAGCCATCGGCCATTCAGGCCAAGGCATTCCCGCTCATTCTGGCAGAGCCGCGTTCGAACCTCCTCGCTCAGGCTCAGTCGGGTACGGGCAAGACGGCTGCCTTTGTGGTCGGCATGCTCTCTGTGGTGGACGGGAGCAACCCGAAGACCCAGTCGCTCTGCCTTACACCGGCTCGTGAGCTTGCGCAGCAAACGTACGGCACCATCGCATCGATGGGTGAGTTTACCGGATACACCATGGCGTGCCTGGTGGCGCAGGACAAGGACAAGAAGAAGAAGAAGCGGCGCGGCAAGGCCAAGCCCGGCCCGCCGATCGACGCCCAGATTGTGGTGGGTACGCCCGGAACGGTCATCCGCTGTGCCGACGACGGCTCGCTCAACCTCAGCGACGTCAAGATGCTCGTCCTCGACGAGGCTGACTACATGATTGCCGGCAACATGGCCGACAACTCGATCCGCATCAAGGACATGCTCCCGGCTGGGGTGCAGATTCTCATGTTCTCAGCAACGTTTGACGACGACGTCTGGGAGTTTGCCGCCCACACGGTCGGCAAGTGCAACACCATCCGGCTGCAGCACAAGGAGGTCCGCCTCAAGAAGATCAAGCAGTTTACGGTGCTGTGCGACTCGGATGACGCCAAGTTTGATGTCATCTGCGAGATCTACGCCCGCCTCAGCGTCGGGCAGATGATCATCTTTGTCGACACCAAGGCCACCGCGCAGGACCTTGCCAACAAGCTCACTGCCGCCGGGCACTCGGTCTCGATGCTCACGTCCAAGCTCTCGCCGTCGGAGCGCGACGCGGCGCTCGACGACTTCCGCGAGGCGCGGACCAAGGTTATGGTCGCCACCGACGTCCTCGCTCGTGGCATTGACATTCAGTCGGTCAACATTGTCGTCAACCTCTCCATGCCCACGGACGACGTCGCACGCGTCATGGCCAACCCGGCGACCTACATCCACCGCATCGGGCGTGCAGGCCGGTTCGGCCGCTCCGGCATCGCCATCAACCTCATTCTCAAGAACTCGACCGACGCCAAGAACCTCCAGCGCATCGAGTCGTTCTACGGCCACAAGACCACTCCGCTCGCTTTTGACGAGATCCCCTCGCTCGGTGAGGCCTTTACCGTCGACGTCTCTGAAAACGCCCTCGTCGCTCTCGAGAACGACGACGACCAGGGCATCCTCTAGCCGCGGTGTCACTCACTCGCCAACCAGCGTGTAAATAGCCGTCCCACCGCTCGTCCCACTACACATCACTGACCGCCATCTGTCGGCACGATGGCCATTGCCCGACTCCAAAAGACGCCGGTCGGACGAACTGAAGCACTCGGGCTCGCCGTCCACTCGGCGGCACCCTGCCGCGCACAACTCACTCGACACCCAAGGCCATGGCACGACGACAACGACACATTTTCTGTGTCCTTCTTGGTCTCTTCGCCCTTGTGGCTATTGCTGCCATGTGCGGTGCTGGCGAGCTGAGGCCGAGTGGTCCGAGCTGCCCAACCAGCTTTTCGTGTGGGACCAGCTGCTGCCAGGCTGGCGCATGCAATTCGGATTCATGTCAATGTGATGTTTTTCCAGGATGGGAGAGCGGAATCAACTGCGATGTGCCTGCTTGTGCCGAGAGCAATGTGACACGGATTACTTTTCGTGGTCTTGACGTTCCTGGATGTTTGCAAGAGTGTGGCCACGGCTTTGGCGGACCGACCTGCATGCTGCCGATGGATGGGAAAGCGTGCAGAGGTGGGAGAGTGCTCGACTTTTCCTACGCCTTGGATAGAGGTGCTGATCGGTTTGTGACTTGCTCTGCGCCGCCGAGTAATGCGTTGAGCGAGCGGATAGACAATGGTCTGGGTAGAGAGCTCGTGTTTGACGCCGTTTTTACCCAGGATGGCAAGAGCCTGGTCGTCATCTTTGCCGCCGGCGTCGCCGACATCCCGCTTCCCCTTGCTGTGATCAAAGCAAGTGGATGCTCGGCAGGGTTTGCAGGAGACGGACGAAACGTGTACCGCATCACCTGCCAGGCGCCACTCGCCGATTGCGCGCCTGTTGCCGCCGCCATGACCCCGCCGCTATGCAACGAGACTCTCTCGCAGTGGCTGGTTGAGACAGCGAGCGGAGCGAGTCTCGTTCTCGAGTGTCCACTTGTCGGCTCTGGATGCAAACTAGTGCTCGGCAGCAGCAGCGCGCTGGAGATGTCGTGCCGATCCGGTGCATGTGTGCCCGCGATCCCACCGCCACAGGTTCCGGCAGTGCCGGCGCCCAGCATTGTCGGCAAGGCCAACGTGGTGAGCGGCGCGGCGCTGGCACTGATAGGGTACCTTATTGGCCTTGGTCTGCTCGTTAGCTGCATCCGCCGGGCGACGACGATGTATGTCGAGACCAGCAGCTCAGGCAAGGATGCAGACAGGACCAGCGAGCGGATGCCGCTGCTGAGCTCGTCGATCCAAGAGGTGGAGGGCGAGGAAGCGGCGGACGATGCACTTGTCCGATTTCTTTCACTTCCTGTTGTGATGCGTGCCGCCGGGCGGGCAGGACGGGCGGCGGCGAGAACACCGGGCGATGGGCCGGTGCTTGCATTTTCGGGGGTTGGCTTTGCGATCCGTGGGCGGCCTGTGCTCGACAGCGTGAACGGGACGGTGGGCGCCGGAAGCGTGCTGGGCATTCTCGGGGCGTCTGGTTCGGGAAAAACGACGCTGCTGTCGTTTCTCTCGGGTCGACCGCTGGACGAACGGTTTGGCGAGGTATCAGAGTCTGCTGCAGTCGTGCTTGCCGGCGAGAGCGTGCCGTGCGAGAGCGGTGCGCGGTGCGATGCACTCTCTCACGCCGTGACTGCCGTGCTCGATGGCAGCGCGCAGCCGGCTCTGCTCACGGTGTACGAGGTGCTCTACACCAGTGGCCTGTGTGTATTTGGCAGCGCGGCCCGAACGCCGACGAGCTGCATGAGCTTGTCATGGCGGTGCTAGAGGTGTTTGCGCTGGGTGAGGTTGCGCATGTGTATGCCAACGGGAGTGCGGCGCCGATGCCGAGCGCGGCGGCGGCCGACGGACGTCCGGCAGTTGTGGGCGCTGACCGGTGCTCGTTGGCGTGCGGACCGGCCTCGGCGCTGTCGGGTGGGGAGCGAAAGCGGCTGGCACTGGCGTTGGGGGTGCTGCGGGTGGTGGCGCGGCCGGAAGCGGCGCGTGTGTTTCTCTGCGATGAGCCGACGTCTGGGCTGGACTCTGCGCTGGCGCTGCAGGTGGCGCGGGTGTTGCGCGGGCTGGCGCGTGTGCTCCAGCTCGCGGTTGTTGTCACACTCCATCAGCCGTCGCAGCGGCTACTTGCGGCCGGCATCGACTCGCTCCTGGTACTGACCGAAGCCGGGAGGGCGGTGGTGAGCGGCACGCTGAGCGCATGCCTGGCGGCGTACCGCGCAGCCGGGTGCGACGCCGGCGACGAGTGCGCCGAGCCGGGCGACTTTTTGATTGTCCATGCAAGTGCTGTTTGCGCGAATGGCCCGAGCGCAAGTGCCGTCAGCGACGCCTGCCATCGCGCGGTGGTGTCGGCGGGACCGTGGCGCGGGCTGGACGTGCGGGCGACGCGGGGCTGGCGGTCTTTGGCCTCGAGCTTGGGGTGGCGCTGCAGCGGCAGGCACTGTTCTGGCTGCGGTCGCCGTGGATGCTCACCATGCAGCTGGGGGTTACGCTGGGAGCGTGTGGCCTCCTCAGCGGTATCTTTTACGCCATGCCGCTCGATCTTGTCGGCGCGCAGAACCGGTGCGGCTTGCTGTTCTTTGTGCTCGCGCTCAACGCGCTCACCTCGCTCGGGGCCATCCGGACCTTTTCGCGCGAGCTCGCCCTCGTGCTGTACGAGCGGCGCGGGGCGTGGTTCCGGTATCCAAGCGTGAGCTACTGCGCCAAGGTGATGCTTGACGTGGTGCTACCAGGCCTCCTGCATCCGCTCCTCTACGGGCTGTGCGTGTACCCGTGGGTGGGACTGGAGCCGACAGTAGGCTCGCTGGCAAGATTTGTGGGCTTGCTTGTGGGCTTCAACTGGATGAACGGGGCGCTTGCGCTGGTCCTGGGTATGTTGCTGGTCTCGTCACCGGCAGCGGCCAACCTTGTGGTCCTTGTGGTTTCGCTGTTCTCGATGCTCTTTTCGGGCTTTCTAGTCTCGAGCGCCAGCCTCGCAACCGGGTTCGAGCCGGTGGCGGCGCTCTCGAGCTACAAGTACGCACTCGAGGCGCTGCTGGTCAACGAGCTCGGCCAGCGAGAGATCGACTACAACCCGGTGGGGTTTCCGGGCAAGGTTCGTTCGGGCGAGGTCATTCTCGCCGAGTTGGGCATGAAGAACTCGCAGAGCCAGATCCGCAACGACACCGCGGTGCTGTTTGCAATGGCAGCGACACTGGCCGTGATCGGATACGCGGTGTTTCGGTTGCGGCTGCGGTGAGGGCGCTAGCGGTCGGCGGGCGTGGCACCACGGGCACCGGATGGGTTTTTCGGCTGGACCGGCGAAGCCGGAGCGACGACGACGCGGCGCGAAGGAATACCAGGGCCGCCTCCCGGAGCAGAGAGCACAATCTTGCGCTGGAGGTCGGCGTCGGGTGCGGGGGCCGGGAGTGGCTGGGAGAGGCGGGCGGCCGAGGTGGCCTGGGCGAGGACAAGCTCGGAGCGAGTGAGCTTCTTGCCACGGGCGGCACGGCGCGAGGCGCGGAGGACGCGGCGGCGTGGAGCTTCGGGCACGACGGGCGGCTGGGTAAAGAGCGCGTGGCGGGCGGGTACAGACTGTTTCGGCGGGCGCGAGGCCGGCGGTGATGGGGTGCGGACCGGCGAGGCCTCGGGCGAGGCGGGAGCGGGATCTGCATCTGGCGCGCGCCAGACCTCGGGTTCGTGGTACGACGGCGACGGCGCGGCAGCACGCACAACAGTGTGCGTGGCTGCTGCTGAGAGCGGACCTGCTGCGGTGCGCGGCCTGCGGCCTGCGGCGGTAGCCGGGCGCTGGCGGGCGGGGGCGACGGCGACGCCGGCCTTGCGGCGCTTGCGGAGGGCGAGCGCAGGGTTGCCCGACATGGCGCGAGTGTGGCCGAGAGTAAGCTCTGAGGCCGGGCCTGAGAGTGCTGGCGACGACGAGGCAATAGGCGCGGCGGCGGCGGGCGTTGCAGGGCGGAGACCGGCCGAGGTCGACGGGCGCGGCGGCAGGATGCGACCTGCCGAGGTGGCGGGACGTGCGATGGATGCAGCGGGCGGGGCAAAGGCTGAAGGAGTGGCGCGCATGTCGGCGATAGCCTCAAGGAGAGCACGCTCCTCGTCGTCGAGGACAACACCGTACGCATCCTGCAAGATGGTAGCGAGCGGGGCGTCTGCGCGGGCAAGCGAGGCCGCTACGAGCGCGGCTTCCTGATCAACGCCTGCGGCGGAGGCATCGGCCGGTGGCTCGCTCTCTGCAGCGGCGAGAACGTCTGCGCGCGGGACGTCGTCGACAAAGGCGACGGCCGGCAGGAGACGTACGACCGCACCCCGAGCTGCGGTGACCGAGGGATAGCGGGCGTAGAGCGGGGTGTCCTCGAGCGAGAGGGCCTCGAGCGAGGGAACCATGACAAGATACTCCAAAGCATCGAGCGAGTCGAGAGCGTTGGCCTCGAGATCAAGGACGGTCAGATTGTCAAGCATGGCCAGCGGCGAGAGATCAGCAATTGCGTTGAAGGCGAGATAGAGCTCTTCCAGAGCAGGCAGAGCGGCAATGCCATCGATGTCTTTGAGCGAGGTACGAACAAGATGAAGAACCGTCACATGTCTCAGACTTGTTCCCAAGTCACGAATAGAAGGCAGAATCGAGTCTGAGAGATTGAGTACAGCGAGTTGAGGGAGGTGATCACCAAGTCCAGCAGCTGAAGTCTCGGACGCATCGAGAGCCAGCCGCAACTCGCTCACCTCACACAGCTCTTCCTCGCTCCGCCCTGTATGTTGCGCGAGGAAGGAGGCAGTCACCTCGTCCGCCGGAATGACGTGCTGGTCCATGCCGGACGAAATGGGTGAAGAGTGGGTGGGTGTGGGTGGGAGAGAGGCGTGGGCGTGCGGTTAGGGTTGAAGCCAACGCGCGCGCGTGGAGTTGGCGGGCTGGGCTTGGGTGGTCGGGAGGGTGGTGGGGGGTGGGGGGTGGTGGTTAAATTTTTTGTGGCGTGTGTAGTGGTTGGAATGCATTGGCGGTACTTGGAATGAAGGTCGATGAAGGTAGAAAACAGATGAAGAGTTTTGCATGCGGGAGGAAGAGAGTGGTGTATGTATCTGATCATTGTGTGCTTTGAGAGTATGTTGGGGGGTGGAGAAAAAGTTCCGAGCTGGTTGGGTATGGTGCTTGGGTTTGTGTGCGTGTGATGAAAAATTCAAGAATTTGTCCGTTAGCCGTTGCAGAGGAGTTGGATAAGCACTTGACGACGTGGAATCGAGAGAGTGCGTAAAGAAGAGGGGAGAGGGGAGGGTGTGCCTGTGTGTGTATATATATGCGTGTGTAAAAGTGGACTTACTGTGGTGTGTGACGGGGGACAGTGTCTTCTTCGCAATCTGAGTACGAGTACACGGCCGAGGACGAGGGCAGCTCGAGCCTGTCTGGCAGCGGGGAGTCGGGCTCTGTGTCGCAGTTGAGCTATGTCAAGAGCAAGGGCCGCGGCAAGGGTAAGCGCAAGGGGAAGAGCAGTCGGAGCGAGGTGGCGGCGAGGAAGCGGACGCGGGCAGAGAACCAGATCGGCGGGCACTCGGGCGACAAGGACGCGTGCTCGATGTGGTTCAAGGGTGCACAGACGATGGGCGGGATCTGTGTGTCGGCGGCGTGCATGCCGCTGGCGTGCTGTGGTTGCGGGCCAGTGAGGCAGATCAGCGAGGGCCAGCGTGGGATTCTGATGACGTTTGGCAAGCTGTCGCGGGTGCTCGAGCCCGGGACGTACCACGCCAATCCGTGCACGCAGGAGATCCGACGGTACACGGTGGCGCTCCAGTCGCTGGACGTGCCGAGGCAGAGCGTGTTGACGACCGACGATGTGACGCTTGATGTGGACGCGGTGGTATTTGTGCGGATCTTTGACGTGGTCAAGGCTGCGTTTGCGGTGGAGAACTACCGCGAGGCGGTGGTCAACCTTGCGGCGGCGTCACTGGTGACGGTGGTGGGCAACACGTCACTGGAGCATATTTTCCAGGAGCGCGGGACGCTCAATGACCGGATCAAGGACCAGATGCAGCTGGAGACCGACGAGTGGGGTATCGAGGTCGACGTGGAGATTGCCGATGTTGTCATCCCCACGCACATGCAACGGTCGCTGGCGGCGGCTGCCGAGGCCAAGCGCGACGGCAAGGCCAAGCTGGTCACCGCGCGGGCCGAGAAGAAGGCCAGTACCATTCTGCAGTCGGCGGCGGAGCTCATGGAGAACCCAATCGCCCTGCAGCTGCGCTACTTCCAGACGCTCTCAGAGATTGCGGCCGAGAACAACTCGACGGTCATCGTTCCGTCGGGCATGCACGACCTGGCAACGGCGGCTGCCGGTGCACGGGCAGGAAAGTGATAAATATTTGAATAGCAACCAAGGTCGGGCAGACGTACCGGGTAGATTAGTGTCAAGCAGCGAGATGTGATGAAGGTCAAACATGGCGCGGCAGAGCCCGCAGCGCCGTGACCGCGACCGGAATTGGGCGACGAGGCAGGCGTACCGGGTAGATTACGACCGAGTGTCAAGCAGCGAGATGTGATCGAGGTCAAATATGGCGCGGCAGAGCCCGCAGCGCCGTGACCGCGACTGGAATTGGGCGACAAGGCATGGTTGGCAGAACGAGTGTCCGCACCTCAGCTTGCTGTCGACGCTCGCCTCGCGGCAGATCGGGCAGATCGGCAAGGCTGGGCTGAGCGGCGTAGCATGGTCGGCATCATGACAGTCGGCCTCTGGTGGCTCCTCCCATGCTTTTTCTACTTCTGCATTGTAGCTGTGGAGAGCAATGCTTCGCTCAAGCGAGTCGAGCAGATCGTCGACATCGTTGTCGGCAAGAAAGCAGACGAGGACGGGGATGAGGGACTTGACCAGCCGTTCCGGCGGCACTGCCGAGATGGGCGACATGAGCACAATGCGGAGGAGGGTGTCTGCTCTGCGTGCGACAGGGTTTCCCGAGTACTGCGAGAGAATGGTGAGACATGGTGTGAGGATGTCTTTAGAGTTCATGTCCGTCGCCGCGTCGTGGAGGCGTAGAGGAGTGACGGGCGACGAATGGAAGGTTGAGCTCACAGGGTGACCGCGCTTTACACAGGTACAATGCAGAGCTCATCGCGGACAAGCCAGCGCAGAAATCGGGCGGCGAGATCGGTGCGAAGCGCACCGCGAACGGCGGGCGCGTTGTTGGTGTTGCGGAGAGGATCGGCAAGGGTGGTGCTGACGAGGCGGGCGGCCTGGGCCTCTCCGATTGGGCCGGAGCGGCGCATGGCAAGTGCGACGCCTTCGATGAGCTCGAGGTCCCAGAGGTAGAGGAGCGGGGCGAGTCGGAGCTTGCTTGCCTTGGCGCGGATGACGTCAAAGACATCGTCGTTCTTGACAGCCGGCGCAAACTGTGCAAGGACGACCGCGACGTCGGGCTTGCCGATGGCCAGTGCTGATTCGTACATCCATTTGGCGGCGACCGGGTGGAGAAAGCTGAAGCTGTCGCTGGTGAGGTTGCAGAAGAAGGCAGTCTCCTCGGCAAGACCACGAAGGTAGGCGTGGAGGACGTCTGGCGAGCCTGCAGACTCCAGGTAGCGGATCTCGGCCTCCAGGTAGTGCCACAGTGGGACGAGCGGCGCCGCGCCCAATGCGCCCGAGGCGGTGAGGCGCTCGACGCGGTGCTGGATCATGCGGGCACAGCGGCCACCGCCCCAGACCGACGAACTCGAGATAAGACCGCTCATGGCCTTGCGCCACCGGGTAAACGAGCCCGGACTGAGGCCGAGGCCGAGCTCGATGGTGGCAGAGTTGATACAGCGCTCGGCGTCACAAGCGCCGGTAGCGAGCATGATGCCGGCGAGGACGTAAAAGGCACGATCGGGAAGCATGCCGATGCAGAGGCCAGGCGCTTCCGGCAGCGCCACGTCTAGATGCTCAAGTTTGCGAGCGGCGTGGCCCAGGGCGTCGAGACGGCGGCCGAGACGACCGGCGTCCCACTTGACCGCCTTGTCCATCCATGGCGTGGCGCCAACAACGTCAAAGACGGCTGCGAGGCAGGCGGCAAAGGCGCGGATGGGGCCGGCCTGGTGCATGGCCTCGGGCGCGGCACCAGCGTCAGCCAGGTGCTCGGCGAGCCAGGCGGAGCCACCGTCACCGACGGCGTCGCAGGCAGCTTCCAGGACATCGCGCGGCAAAGTGGGCCAGATGGTGGCGAGGAGGGCGAGCCACGACTCACCGGTCGGCCCGCGGCGGGCACGCTTGTTGGGAGCCTGCGACTCGGAGGCGTCGAGCGCAAACTTGCGCTTGCGGCGGTTCGAGGCTGATGCTGTGGTAGCGATCTGAGTCCGAGCCGCAGCCAGCGCGTCAGCGCACTGCTTCAGCTTGTCGTCCATGCCCATGTCGGCGGGCGCGCCGGCGTCAGCCTCGGCGTAGAGCACCGCTAGCGCGTCGCTGAGCGGCGACGCCAGGCGGTGGGCAGTAGCCAACGGCGCGGTCCCGCCGTGAATACGACGGTAGATCCACTCGTGTGAAGCGAGCACGTTTGCGATTGAGGCGGCGACGTTGGGCTTGGCGTCGATGCCGATGACAGCGCCTGCCGCGAGCGAGTGCCGATAGCAAGCCGGCAGCGCCGGGGCAAGAGTGTCGCGGGCAAGAATCTGCGAGAGGAGCGCGACGTTGGCGTCGGTCGAGGCGCTGAACACGAGTGAGGCAATGGCGTTAAAGCTGGCGATCGGGGTGGCGGTAGCGGCAGCAACCGTCGGTGGCGACCGCGGCGGAGCCTTGCCGGCCACAATGGCGCACATACCCGCGGCAGCGGCCACAATCTGCTCCGGCCCACCGGCGCTTACCCCGCTCGCGCGAGCCACGTCGGGCACCTTCGACTGGACGTAGTCACCATCGTACAGCGCAAGCTGAGCGAGACCGGTGCGGAGATCCGAAGCCAGCGGCGCGGTCAACCACGTCGGCTTGTCCTCTAGCGCTTTGACTAGAATGGCCACAGCTGCGCGCTGAGCTTCACCCTTGGACATCTTGGAGGCGCCGAGGACAATGATGGGCTGGACGCCGGCAGCAAGGCTGCCGATGAGCCAGCGTGCCAGAATGCACTGGCCGAGCGGCTCGACACACGCAGTGCCGGAGAGCATGTCAGCAAGAGGCGCGGTGCGGACGGTGTTGACATCTGCAATGAGGTTGTCAAGATCAGTGACAGACTCGAGTCGCGGGCGCGCGCCGGCACCGCCGGCAAGGCGAGAATACGCAGAGGCAACCAGGCGCATGATGGGCTCCTGCAGTGCGAGGGGAACGACGTCGACCAAATGCTGCAGCACCGAAGCAGGAGCGCTGGGCTCGGGCGCAGTAGCGAGGACCGCGCGGAGCGCAAGGGCCATGATAGCCGCCCACCGCGAGGCGTGTCGCGAGTCCGGGCCGAGGAGCTCGGCGACGCAAGCGAGGATGTCCGCGACCGACGGCGAGGGCTTGACGTCGACACCAGGGTCAACAAGAGCCGCAAGGTGAGCCTCAAGCTCAGTTGGCTTCCACAGGTATGTCATCCATGGAACAGTAGACGTTGTGGAGATGGCAATGCGGGCAGAAGGAAGGGGGAGACCCACGGGTGCGCCACCGTCGACCGGAGCAGGTGAAGCAGGACGACCGCTGGAAGCGGCACCAGCAGAAGCGGAAGCCGGAGGGGGCGGAGGGGGAGGAGTAGGGGACGAAGACGGTGGGCCATTACTTCCTATGGTGTGGCGTACGCGGTTGCGGACGCGCCCGAACATGGTAAGGTGGGAGGGGTGGGTGAGTGGGTGAGTGGGTGGGTGGGTGGGCGGGCGGGCGGAGGCATGCGGTCGTCGCCTCGTCCCATGTACTCCGAGCTCTGGCCAGACCTTGATGGATACAGCCACAATTGCAACTGGCTCAAGGAGGGCAACAAGCTTGGCTAGGGACGCAATATCATGGCGACGATGCAGCAAGAAGAAACGCCGTGGAGCCAACATGGCCATCAAGCGGTCAGCGTCAAAGCAGCCATCGGTGACCAGCCGCTCGCAAGATGGGCGAGATGTTGAACGTTCATCGTCCTCTCACGATGGCAAGCAGCGGCGTGGCCATGGTCAGCACCGCCGCTATGACAACCACTCTGTTACCAACCACAAACAGAACCGTCATCAGGGCGGTCGAGCTGGTATCTGCCGTCAGCGACACGCTCCACAGCAGCTGCATGGTCACAATCACCATCAACGCCGCACCCACCTCCAGCTGCAGCGACGAGCTGGTGCGATACGGACGGACATGACCTGTAACCTTCCGCAAACACAGAGCCGCGCTGGAGGATCGATGTGAAGATGGCCACGCCCACCCGCCGCACCAGCACTACGCCTTTGTTCCACCACGCTCGGTCTACAAAGCCGGCAAAGAGGAAGGCATACGCCGAGCGCGCCGCGTCGCCGGCAGTCACCGTTAGCCGTATCCGCATCGCCACGGCAGCAACCACGCTGGCCACAGCGCAACATGCGAGGAAATATCAAGCCGCCAAGACAGCCCGCCGAGCGAACGTTGGCGACTTGGACGGCGTGGGGCAATTCCGGGTCACCGAACCACACCTCTCCCCCCCCCCCCCCCCCCCAACCCCCGGAGTAGCTATGGACACGACCACGGCCAAGCGTACTGCTGCCTGTGCCGCCACCAGTCTTTTCCTCGTCAATCCTATTCTTTACTTTACAGGATTCACCACAGGTGGCATTGCCGCTGGGTCGCTTGCTTCGGCTTGGCAGGCTTCGATGGGCAATGTTGCCGCAGGCTCGGTTTTTTCGTCGTTGCAGTCGGCAGCCGCGCTTGGCGTCGGATGGACGGCCGCGGCCGCTGGAGGCGGTATCGCTGGCGCAACTGCTGTAGTTAATTGGATGCCCTCTGGGGCTGGTGAGGCGGTCACCTCGTTGGCGTCAACCGTCGTGGCTGTCTTGCCCTCTGCATCGGCTGTCGCCGAGTCTGTCGTCGGGGTGGCATCGACCGCCACCGGATTCATCTGGACGTTCATGACGCCTATCTGATAGCGCCATGGCTGCTGCTGATGAGGGCGCTGAGAGTATTGAAACCACCAGGCGACGCTTACACCATCACGCACAACGACGTCATTGACGACGTGGCGGGCCGCAAGCTCCTCCTTGATCACATTCTGCTCTCGCCGTCGGTGGCACCGAACGCAATCTCGGGCGGCATCTTTCACGAGCTGTTCTCGTTCTTTGGTAAAAAAACAGAAAGTGCGATCGCGGCCGTCGTTCGAGGTTGCCGCCGAGCCGCGGACACTCCTCAACCGGGTGCTCTCGGACCATCGTCCCGTATGGTGCGACCTCGACGTGGCCGGCCTGCTCACAACCAGTGAGCGGCGGCGCGGTGGGCAGTACGTGCCGCTTCCGGCGAGGTCGATCTACATCGACACCGGCAACGGGCTCTCGACCCGGCTGTGGGTGGCGCCACGGAGCAGCTCGCCCAGTGAGGCAAGTAGCGAGCGCAGCGCGTGCTGGGTTTGGCGAATCACTCATCGCGGACGCGGCCGCGTCGAGCCCGGCGGCGGGACCGTCGTGCAAATGGATGGCTCTCACGCACAAGCAGCTCGGCCAGCAGCAGCGAGGGTAG